AGTCTCGCAACTAAAAAATTATTAACAATTAGTTACCCGTCTCTTCTTATCTTTTAAAAAATTTCTATATTTGTAAAATAGAAACGTAGTTTTATCAGGCAATAATCAAATTGTCAAAATTATTACACGACAGTTATAAATTGCCAATCACCTCCAGTTCTCGAAGGATCTTCGGTTACTTCCAACGATAATCTCCCTCTGATTAAATCCCTCGTTTTTCTCGATTCTAGGGGATGGACTTTAGAGAACTTCGCCCCGGAGATGGCCCCCGGGAAAATTTCCCTGCAAAAAGACGGAGGAACCGGTGAAACGCGGGCGCAGCGACTGTACCAGTGACGGAAAAACCGATATTTTCTTTTGCTTTTTTCCATCCCGCTTTTCTTCGTCGGTCACAACGGGGTCGTCGATTGTCTCGGGGAGCAAAAGCGACCACGTGGTATCCCGAAAAAAGAAGAGGAAGAAAAAAATAAGAAGTCAGGGAAGAACTCATGGCACGAGAGCTTTGCAGTCGTGAATGCTCTTGCTTCGTAGCTGATCCATTCGTTTCTGACTGGCGTCGATTCTCCGATATACCCGACTGAAACTCCAAATTTCTACTCCAATTAAAAGAAATTTGTTCTACAAACAATTTCCTACAAAGAAGATACATATTCGTCTCGAATGTCCACGCAATAGTCGAGCACCGTATCTCAAAGTGCAAAGAAACCCAGAAAGCAGAGGAAAAGTTACTCGGAGTAACTCGATTAGTTCAACTCGAAGAAAAATCTAAACTCGGAGTAATAAATCCGTTTTAAAGCTCTCGCTTTTACTCGAGTGAAGATCAATTTGGTCTCAGTTTCGTACACACGTTCGCGAATGAATCTTTCTCGGGGCTAACGTTGTCCGGTTAAAAATTGCGCGAATGAATCGCACCGTCTTGGCGACAATACATCGACCTGGATTCCACAGATTTATCGCGGACACCATCATTTCTTCCGTAAACTTTTAAGACGTTTCCGCGGGACGAACGTCGGCTGACCTGAATCGCTCGGTTGGAAAAAAAACGAAGGACGCTGAGGCGTCGCGAAGCATGGTTGAGAATTCTAGCAACAATGGCAAGCCAGAACGCGAGGCTGCGGGCAAAAATTTGCCGTCTAAACAGGATCAGGTCAACTAAAAATGTTAAAACGAAAAAAAAAAATAGCAAACTGTCGGTTAAAGGAAAAGAAAAAAGAAAAAAAAAAAAAAAATAGTTACTGCTGCAATGTAATCTATCACGGATGGTAAACTAATTGTAAGCGTGCCTGCACGACACGTGAACGCGTGAAAATAATTGTCGCAGAATCTCCAGGAGGCAAAGAATCGTCCCGAGAGTTGCCACGCACACACGTGGCGAAACGACGGATCATCCACGGAGAATGCAACGACGCAGAAAGCGAAAAAAAAAAAAAAGAAGACGAATCGCCGTGACGCGCGAAGGATGCAGACCAGGATGCAAAACGAACGTGCAATTCCAGCGTCAATTCGGTTCCCGGGGTAATTCGTCACGGTCGTGCAGAATGCTCGTAGATTTATTTGTTTCTTCTTACTAGACAGACAATTGAAACACTAAAAAGAAACGAATATATGAAAATGTCAATGTTAATCTTATTTAGTGATAAATAATATGTATTCTTAATATAGTTTCCTTTTATTTATGTTATTATTACGTTTAATAACGATCGTATGAAGTAAGCAGAGCAATACAAACGCTATATTTTTCCCATAAACGCGAAATTTCATTTACAACGTCTGGAGAGATGAGATGAGATTGTGCATCAGGAGGCAAGTCTTGCGAGTTTCTGATTTGCCGTTAGTCGCCGCCCTAGTAATAAATCTAGTAAGTTTTCCTAATTCAATCCAGCCCACGTTGATGATAAATTCTGCAAGACCGCGCGCGACTCGATTTCACACTTACGTCAGAATTTAACGCGGAATAGATGATTCTTTGTCCGTCGTATAGTCGCATTAACCACTTGCGCTGGCGGACTTGATTGCGGACCATAACGAGTGACCAAGCCGTATACAATAATTCGTCGCTTTCTTTTCGAACTCGTCGGTATGACGTCACTGGATGGAAATTATTGAGAAGTATAAATAAATTTATTATCTGTTTTGCCTATTTTGTTTTACTTAAATATACTTAAAACTGAGAGAATATTACAATTTTAGAACAAACAATTCTCGACGTGCGTGATTCCGGCGCGAGAGGTTAAGGACACGATAATCGTCAAGATATCGAAAATTATCAATTTCAAACCTGTGAATCTTTCGAAAGTTAGAATCAAACAGTCAAACTCAACGTCACATACTAGATTTCTAATTTTCTGAATAGTCTCTTTTTTTCTCCGTATATCTTAATTGTCCTACTGTATTCTACTATTGTAGAATGCATAAAAATACATTTTTCTTTCTTTTTTAATTTCTATATCTTCCCTGAAAGTAATCGACAGCGCGTCAGTTAATTTTCACGCAAGTAAGCACCGTAGATGCTAGTATCCAGGGGATTTAAAACTCTCAGATAATCCCTGTATTAACGTGGGCTCCTCCAATCGCGTGTCCAACGATTCCTTAATTAACGAGACGTCGGTCGGACAAAAAAGATTTTAATGAGCTCCGCGTACCGAGGAAATCTGGAGGAACTTCCTTTTCATGTCTCTACTTATAAGATATGAAAAAAAAAAAAAAAAAAGGGAACATAAGTATTACAATCTGGCATAATCGATCGTTGAAAGTTCAAGAAACTTAGTTTGCAAATTACAGCAAATTCGACAGATATGCTCTTCAGATATTTTAATTGAAAAAAAAAAAAAAAATTTTTTTTCAGACGAAGGATTTTCCTTTTTATTTTTTAAAAAAGAAATTACGAATTATAGATATTTATCAGTAATGCTGTTCCTCTATGGTCAAAAAGTGCACAACACGCATAATGAATGCATTAACGTTTCCTGCATACATTTGTACTCATCAGAAACATCTCCGTATCTTTCCCAAAACGACAAAGACAATGATAAATGCAAGACATTTTTTTAAGTTTCCGTGTCACTGCCTCGACATCATTCCGTTTTCATGCGATAACGTTGGTACAACACGAGATCGATTAAACAGTATCTCACACGCATATACACGCACGCGTCTGTCTATATACGTACGTGGTGGACACGTACGTCATCGGAACATGCAAACGAGTGAAACTTCACAATCAATCTTTCCCATTAGGAAGAGACGACGACATCCATCGGGCGCAACTTCGTCCAAAATATTCCAAAAGACAACGCCCTTTCTTTTTTGTATCAAACGAAAAGAAAAATCGACGAACGTTAACCACCCTAAGGGACATAGCGTCTGATCGATGTCTATATATCGTTCGTCCTTGATCTCATAACCTGCAAACATACTAATAGGGGGTAACAGGGGGAGAGAAAAAAAAAAACAACTTAATAATTCTGTTGCACCATCTTTTGCGCGGTCGATTTGAACTGCCAACGAATGAATTTATAAGGAACCGAAATAAAAAAAAAAAAAAAAATAGATAAAGGGAATATATTTCGTAATAAAATATGTCACAGAAAATATCTGAAAAATACAACGATGTAAATTTATAAAGTTTCTACGAAAAATTGCGAATCGATCATTTTTCAATTATTCTATTATTTTTAGTATATTTATTATATACCTCGAAGAACGATAACTGCATAATATCGAGTTGTATTTTTATCTCACCCTGACCAACATCTTTTTAACAAAATTAAATGTCAATGATAATCCAAGATATAGACCCAATATATACCCAATCAATATATCCAATACAGAGCTGGAATAAAAAGAAAATTGCGCTATTTTTTGAGAAATATTGCAAAAAAAGTTCTAAGACGATCTATGAGTAGACTACAAATTGCATGATTAATGACCATACATATGAATTTAACCTCTCGATGTAACAGTAAATTTTAGAAATAATTTCATACTTGAGGCCTACCGAGGTTCCGATATTTTGGAACAAGACATACGATATAAAAAAAGTAACAACATCAGATACTAATGCTCGATCGCTAATGTGAGAACAATTTGCTGAAGAACGACAGAACCGTTAGACTACATTTAAATTAACGATCAAAAGCTGCGGAGAATAATTAAATACGCTGTCGAGTAACCTCCAGAGCATCCGACGAGAAGCATAGCTGTCAAACTTGAGTCACTGATGCACTCGAAACAGAAAGAAAAAGTTAAATTCGAATTCTATGCAAAGATAAGAGATATCAATTAACATTTCACACGATCCTAACCGAAATCATTGATAATGGTTGGCTTCAATTCATGGATTCACCCCACCCAAAAACAATTGGTTAAACTGCATCACGATGGCATTATAGACGTTACATCTAAAATCTCAACGCAATCGTTCGAACAAAAATATTGTGATGGAAATTGCTTCAATTTTGTTCGATCGTAGCAAATTTCTACCGACACGACAGAATACGAAAGTTTCTCAAATTATTGTACATACGTACATACAAATTCAAGTAAATTATTGCTACTGTAGTCCACAGGGATTTTCCGAATGAAAAGCTTCGAAAAAGAGAAAGGGCTGGTCGAGTAATCACGGTTTGCGGACGAACTCGCTAATGAATCGATGGGCCAACGACAGTCTCGAAACTCGATTAAATTTACCTAAAGCGGCCTGTCGCCTAACGACCGGGGAATCAAACCGTCGTTTTGTTCTCCCTACGAACGTATCACGATACGTTCTAACCTTGATTCGATGAAGTTCCTCGATATTTGCCACGCGAGACGGGAGCCGAACATTTTTGCAAGGATACGCGCCAAATCTTTTCTAGGTCATTCCGCAGAGACAGGATGTGCACGGGACCCACAGCTGATTTTACCAGCCGAACCGAAGAAAAATCTACGGTGCCAATATGGTTACAGCGACGAGCGTTGGAAACTGGAATTTCAAAATGAAACTGAGAATCTTTACTTACCGAGACTGATCACTGACAATTCACCGCGGAACTGAGCGCGAAATCACAGCACTGACACCACGCCAAAACAGCCCCTGCGAACGACTGATTTTTATCGAACTGGCCGCGGCGAAATGCAGCTCGCACAGCCACATTGCCATCTTCCTGCGACTTCCGAAACCACATTTCACGTCCATCGAATAGCGCGACACGACGCGACGCAACGCCTAGGATCCTTCAACTTTTTCTGCGCATGCCTCGTATTTCTTGAAATTTAACCTGTTAGAAAATAAAATTCAATTTTTCGATATGACAGTTGATTCTACGTTATTATTTTATTTCGTAAGAATTATGCCCAACCGTAGAATCAACTTAGGTAGAAACAAATTTAACTGTGTAAAATTAATGTTTTTTTTTTTAGCTAAAATCTAAATTAAAAATTAAAAAATTAAAAAGACAAATTAATTCCAATGAGATCTATAAATAAAGGGAATTATTTCATCCTTTTCTTAGCTGGCAAACAAAAAATGATTGGTATATGCACAGACGAGATACGGGTGTATGTAAAAGAATAAAAGAAAAAAATCTGTTATAATTGCAATAAAAAATTACCTTTTATAGATATATAAAATTTTATTCCTTTTCTGTTGAGAATTCTTCAGTTATCCTTTAAATATAACGCGGATAATTTTAGAACGTGGTCGTAGAAGGAACAAGTAGTTATTAAAAATGCATTTCGCGTTTCTTTCTCAAGTATTTGTTCTGATATTTCTTTGCTATTCAAAAAACACCAATCGCACCCGTACGCTATACTTTCGTGTTCGTTATACTCGCCAACAACAGACGGTATTTCTGTCTTATCGCAGTCGACGATTCTAAATCCACCATACATGCAAGCTGCTAACAAATGTTTCCGTTCGAAGGGATCCCATTTTAAACGCCAAACACCGCCATCAAGATTAATGTCTGAAATTGGCTGTTTCAAGTTTCTCGTGTCCCATAATCTCAATATTTCATCGTAACTGAAATATTATAAGAATTTTATTGGAAATGAGTTCGGATGAAAACGCTTTTGTCATACTTGAATACAGCACCTTCCAGATGATATTAAAAATTCTCTCGTCGCGTTACTGTGAATACTGGTAACACCTGCACTGTGAACTTTATTTGAAGCACAAATTCCGATTCTTGTATCGATACATTGAAATTTACAGTCATCACCACCTTAAATATATACAATAGTCATTAATTTTTTTTTTTTCAAATAAATTTTAGTTTTACTTATTTTCATACCGCTGTATATTATATTTGTGTCCCAATAGTCAAATGCTGCTATCCACGCTTCGAATCCATGCGCAGACCATGAATTAATTTTATTAAGTTCATTTTCACTTAATTCAAACAATGATACGAAACCTTTCGAATCGCTAACCACTATTTTTAAATTGATTTCATTGGCCAATCTTCCGGTGCACCAATCTAATGATAATGCAAGTACTTCATCTTTGTCAGCAATTCTCTTTTGGATTAATAAATCCAAACTTTTGTTCTCGTTGTCACTTTTAAGCTGATAAATTTGCAAGTACCCTAAAGAGTTTGCGACACCGAGCAAGATTTTATTTTGAAACGTAACATGCGCCCATTTCATATCCAATACAGCAGGTACTTCTAATACTTGCAGCAACACTAAGCGTCCGTTTTGCACAATTTGAAATAAATAAATTCTTCCAAAACGTTTTGGCGAAACGTTCGACGTTAAATTTTCGTCTTTCATTAATTGATACGTTCCACAAACAAATATATCTCTGAAGAAATCTATCGGGCACCATTCAACCGAATCGGCACAAAATTCTGTATCGAAAATATCCAAAGTACGGAACATACTTGACGTTGCGTAATCTGTAACACGAAATGAAAAATTGAAAGTTCTCACGTGTTTTTAAGTTCTAAATTACGAAGATTAGAATTATTTTACACTGGGAAGCATTGTGGGTTTCACATGGAAAAATCTTTATTTATATAAATATTACAATTAATGAAAACCATATATAAATACGATATACAATATATTTAAATTATTACAAATTCAGAATTTTTAGACTTACACGCAATTACATTTGCATATTGCTATTTCCAATTAAATTTATTATTGTTATATTATTGAAGATAAGAATTAATTTGAAGACATTTGATATGACGTCGATTTCAGTTAAATACTGATAAACGCTTTCAATGAACATTTGTAAAAAACTCTATTGATCTATTCATTTGTATTAAAAACTTCACATACATATAACTTGTACTTTTTGATTTGAGTGTTGTTACCACTGAGATCATATCATAATTAATTTTTAGGAACAAGATATGATCGTCATTTCTTATAGATAGTAAATTCATATATCTGTGAGCAAAGATCATTTACATGTTATAGGAACTTTTCATCTTTTCACTTTAAATATATCCGTAATATGTAGTCATTTAAGTATATCACGATATAATTATAGAAATCTTATCCTAAATATATACTGTTGAAATTTAATACTATATTGGTTCTTCATTACTTGGTTTCATCAGTTCCTATTTACCTTTATTGTATTTGAGTAATATATTTGTACTATCAATAATGAAATTTAAAATTTCACTCTGAAATTATTATATGGAATTAATACGCATATTTCTTATTTTCAACTCTGATAAAATACGTTACTATATTCTAATAATCAGTCGTTATCGTCAGTAATCATATATAAAAGAATAATTTTTGTAGAATACTATGTATTAATTATTTAAAATTATATAAAATTAATACCCTAACACTTGTAATTAATAAACTACTTTCATTGTACTCTCTTTGGTAATGTAAAAACATATAAATAATTTTTTACCATATAAAATAAATACATAATGATATACATTGTATATAGTATAAAAATGAATTTTTAAAAAGTCATTAAAATTATATTCTACATTAATGACTATTATATAATTTAATCCTTTCCTGCAATTATAATTTAACGTTTGAGGTAGATTGATTCTTTCATTCTTCAACATGCGTATGTAGCATCATCTTTGGCAAAAAATATATAAGTTGTTTTGTGCTATAGTTAAATATCTTAGTTGCACATCGTTACATGTAAAATTATTAAAAACTTTTGTTTCACTGACGAGCACTTTTTTCAGTTTCAACTAAACATTCCCTAACTAAGATACGTGCATGTACAATACCACGCTTAATTTTTTCTATAGAAGTACGACTGCCAGCATAGGTAGGTCTAACCTCGTGGCCAAGTTCTTCTATGACATTAAGCAGTTGTATATATTTTGATTGACCAGGTACGGAAGGAACAGTTTGTTGTAGGGCTCTTGGATTTGGTACACTTAGTAATGGCTCTGTAACCTTTGTCGAAACTTCTATATTTCCTCGTTCTTCTTCCATCTTGTAGCTGTCTTTTTTTTTTAAATAAATATCCTAACAAATAATTTATGACTTGTACACGCTAGTTATAACTGAATAGCACACACGACGACATTATAATGTATTAATTACACTTCGCAAAACATGTTCATGTTTAATGATGAAACGGAAATAAATGTACAAAAAAGTATAATGTATGAAACTAAAGGAAATCATGCTTTAAAAAGTCTCAGTACAAAAGCAGCGAGATAAAAATAAATATAAATATACTTTTAATTAAATGTAATTATATCTTGCATATGAAACTCACCTCAATGAATAGACTAGCAAAATTTTACGCAGCAAATAAATATGTACAAATAAAAATTAAGCGTAATGCTCAATAAATTCTTAAATCTATTGATTTCTATATTCCACTGTTTTTCTTCGCAGAACGATGTGCATGTGCACGCATCCGAAATTTAATAAATTCAGCGCTTCACGGAGAAGCTAAGAACTACAGCAATATGTGGCACTAAATTCAAATGATACGTCCTGTTACGAACATACAAATTCGATTTAAGGGTATAAAATCAATACACAATATTGTACAAAACTGTTTTTTTTTATTTAGTTATACCTTGTAGTCAATAATATTCAAGGATTATACTTTCCATAGGTACATTTTGTTTGATCAATTTTTTTCCCTTGTGTGTATACTGTAGGTCTAGTTACCCAGTTTTAACCAAAAAATGCAATAATAAACTTTTCTTAGAAAATATAAATGAAGGCTCTTCACAGTGCCTGTCTTCACAATCCTGCCTAATATTAAATTTTCTAATCTATTCGAAAACTTAATAGGAAGGAATAATAATTCCTTTATAATTTATGTAGAAAATGGTCATTTTTACATTCTTCTTAATAAAAAATAATCAACTAAAACAAAGAACAAATTTCTTTTATCGCGTTTAATTTATATCCCATATTATGCGCTATTGATTGATTAATTTTCTTTAGGCATCCACAAAAGTGCATATTTTAAGTCATTTTATTAGTTATTGAAAGTGATATTAAGTTGTACAGCTATTACTTTCTCAACTTTCCCATTGTTTAAAATAATTAGCTGCTTCCACTTTCTTCTTATTAAACATAGAAACTAGTAAAATCGTATAAAATATGAAATAATAATTGTTATATATTGTGTATATGCACATTTTTGTGGATGCTAAGACACTCCCTTTAAAATATACTGCTGTACTTCATACAATGGTACATAGTATTACTTTTTGTAAAATAATCGACTAAAAATCTAATCGCTAAGTATATCGACAGATCATTGCCGTGCGTTGTGTTCCGTTTCCAACAGACATTCTCTTACGAGAATTCTAGCATGCTGAATTCCCATCTTCAGTCGTTCAGCTGCGCTACGACTTCCAGCATAAGAAAGACGAATGTCTCTACCAAGCTCCTCGATAATAACCAGTAACTGAGCATATTTACCCTGACCAGGCACAGTAGGGAAGTTTATTGTACTAGACGGGCTAGCCTGTGCTACTTGAACAGTTTGAACGTTTTGCAAATTTCTTGGATTTGGCACAGTGATCACAGGTTCAGGGATTCGTGGAATTTCTGGTACTTTTGGTGGTGGTGGTGGGTCATTTAGTTTCGTTATTGTTATTTCATTTAATTTAGCCAATTCTGTTAATTTGGCCATCTCTGCCATTTTCGAATATTCAGGCATTTTTGTAATGTCATTTTGCATATTTGCCATTTTGATCATCTCGTTCATTTTCGTCTTTTCATTAATCTTTGCAATTTCTTTAGCCATCTCATTAATTTGCGCAATTTCAGTTAATTTTGTTATATCATTATTATACTTCGCCATTTCCGTCATTTTTACCATTTCGTTGAGTTTGGCTATTTCGTTCATTCTTTGAACTTCATTAATTTTTACCATTTGCGACATTTTCATCATTTCGTTCATCTTCGCAATTTCGTTAATTTTCGTGATATCATTATATTTGGCGATTTCTGAGAGCTTCACCATTTCGTTCATCTTGGCAATTTCCGACATTTTTGCAATCTCTTGCATTTTCATGTACTCTGTTGTTTTGGCATATTCTGCCATCTTTTCCATCTCGTATCTCTTAGCCATATCCTGAGACATTTTATTCAATTCAGTCATTTTGCTGAATTCGGCAAGTTGAGCCATTTGAACTATGTGTTCTGGTACTTTTCCCCTTTCCATCATCTGTTTCAATTCAGCTGAAATCTTGTTCATATTCATCTCTGACATTTGAGCTATCGTAGCTGCATCTGGCATTTTAGACAGTTCAGCAATCTTTGAAATTTCCCTTGCTAAATTTTCATCTAAGCAACGCTTCTTTTTAGCACGATGCCTGGCCATACGTTGAGCTTCCTGCATTCTTCTTATTGCTGCCTGCTCTTCTGTCTCTTTTGCTCTAGCGTTCTTCATTCTCTCAGCAGCAGTATATAATCTAATGGCGCGTTCCTCGAACGTTTCTTCTCTCAACTTTTGCCGTCTATATTCACGCATTTCTCTTACCTTTTTGAGGTAAGATTTCTTCTTAGCCTTAGGCATAACATGCAACCACGCATAATATAGGTGCTATCATCTGTATAACCTGTCATTTTTGTTAATTTCAAATGCCAAACTTTCCAGAAAATACACTCTGTGCATGCGTTATTGGTTAACCTTGATTAATTCTGCTCTTTTCTCGATGTTTACACTAACTGTTCTTACATATTTCTTCATATGTAAAGTAATCTTCTTCCTTCACTTTAGAATTTACCTGCAATGAAAAAAAGAAACTATGTGAAATTGGTTAGAATGTATTTCTGACTAGACGTCTATGAAGATAAAAATGCTTCATTTACATATTCTCAAGCGTAATAAATATCCTGTCACTTATTTTTTTGCGCTTGAATACTACAATGTCGCGGTCTTTAACAAACGTTTGCAATATTTATAAACATTGTACAGAAACAGGTTCAACGGCACAACGTTCAAAAATTCTTTTTGTCATCAGGAAATAAAAGGATATCAATCTGGACGATCTCTCGACAGAGAAACTCTTCGTTCATTTACTGTGTAGAAAATTACGATTTACGCGAATGTTAATCGAAATTATTCTAAAAAAGACGCGGGTCGTCAAGCTCGAAAAATATTTCACAGAGCACGTGCGCAAAAATCAAACGGCCCGACACTGTTTTCGAAATAGGTATGCATGTAGGTGTTCATCAAGCGTGTGAGTGCTCTCGGCTACCTGTGCCCCTGCGCGTCGATTTTGTGTGTGTGTGTGCGCGTGTGTCTCCTCAAAATTCGAAAGATGAGCGTCGTCAAGTAGTGCACGACGCGCATGCGCGCCAATCTAAGAACGCCGTCTTCTCTGGAACGTTCACCAATCACAACAATGGCGGATACAATTCGGTCAGTTCACTGAAACGCACGATTAATCCGGTGCGAGGCTAAACTGCGTCTTGAACCAATCCCATTTCACAACAGTATCTTCCTCATGGTAAAGCGCGTACGCCACCGTTGTTTCCAGGCGAATTGGTACAGTTTTTCTTAAGATATATCACAGACAAACGCACAAAAGCAATATCGGCCGACATGTAAGATTTTCGTTCGGAGCCACTTTAAGGGGCCAAGCGGGGTCGCCGATAGGCTGCGTGTGACGTGGTTGCGTTTATTGACCATAACCCCTTCCTACTCCCGTCTGCAACTTCACGACGGACAGGTGTACGACCTGAGAGGCCGCGAAACAATTGACCGAAACCGACAACGTCTTAAAATACTCGACATTGTCTTCGAAGAATTCGCAAAGACGATCGGAATTGCCCGGCCGTCCCTATTACCTCTGCCAATAGCGATGCGACATGGCTCTTCTTTTTCCATTGATTAGCGAAAATACTACGATCGTTTTCTCTTAAATCAGGAATATATCATTCGACTTACGGTAAATCCTTTTCTCGCGATTCGAAAGACCGGTTTTCTTTGAAAGAAGAGAATATTTTGACAAGTTTTTTTGGATTCTTCCAGACGAGATGAAGGTGAAATTTAACTCGCCGAGAGAAGATATATACTTCATTTTTTTTTAATGAACTTCCATTGCAAAACACTTTACAAATATTCCATGATAATTGAACGACTGATTGGCTTTTTGTTATGGAACAATTACTATGTAAAGCTAACGGCGCTTTTGGATTCTATTATTTCCGCATTCGTCAATATGAATTTAGGTAATTGAACTGTTTTACTCTTGAAGAGTTATTTTATTTAATTTGAGCAAGATTTTTAGTTTTTTACATCTGAAGTAAATTTTTTTATTTATTATTATAAATTTATATAATATTTAGATAATTTAACTGAGCAACGTGTTTCACTCTTGAAGAATTTTATTTTGTTTAATTTGTATAAGGAGATTCTTAGTTTTTTATATTTGAAGTAAATTTTAATTTATGTGGAGTATTATTGTTGCTATATCGATGAATTTTTTTTATTGTTAATGATCATGTATTGCATAGCACTTGTGTTCTACTCAGCAGTATTTAATTCTTTCTCTTTTATAATTTATTAATAGAAGAAAAATCTATAAACATAACATTCACAACTACTACAATTCTCCAATCAATAATATTATAACATTGATTTCTATACAAAACTTAAATAAAATTTTAATAGGATAGTTTATTTATTTATGATCATAGCAAGTTACGTTTATTTATATGTTGCTAGTTACTGTTGTAAATTAATTTCTATCTCCATTAAGCATTCCTTTATCAGCATCCTAGCTTTTATAATACCTAATTTTAATCTCTCTATTGAAATTTTACTACCAGCGTACGTTAATTTAACATCTCTTCCTAGTTCTTTAATGACTTTCAATAATTGGGAGTATTTACTTTGTTTACAAGCTGAATATACAATTGATGGGTTTTGTATAGGGAAATATGTTTGAAATTGTTCCATTGCTGGCACAGAGACAACGGAGTCAATAGTTTTGAATGTAATATCTTTTCTGTTTAATTCTGTTTTAAATACCCTCACTTCCTCCAGAGCTTTCTTCTTTCTAGCTCGAAATCTTGCCATTCTTTGCGCATCGTGAAATCTTCGAATTATAGCTTCTTCTTCGGTTTCATGTGGTTTTATTAATGGTCTGCGCGCATTCCTTTTTCCTCGTTTTATTGAGTTATTCTGTCTATTCGTTTTCAAAGTACTCTTTTTTCTACTGTATTTATAATTGTTCGTTTTGTTCATTTTATACACAATGCCCTCATTCAATCACAATACATTTTTATAATAATAGTAATAATAATAATTGTATACATTTAAAAAAAAATCATTTTAAAAAATTATTTAAATTTACCTCTTTTTTTTTCTTCAATATACGCGCATGCGTGAATAATTTAGAAACCAATTATTATTAGAATGGCGAACTGTTGTGGAAAGTATTGTTGAACTTTCGAATTCGTATACATCTCAGTTATAAACTCTTATAATTTCGTATTGATATTTATGTTGGTGTTGTTATTTTAATGCTTTTCACTCGTTTATCACGCTTAAATATTGGCGATGTATGAGCAAATATTTACGAGAATTTATGGAAGAAAATAGTTGCACGTAAGATTTGACTATAAGTAATCTTTACACTGTATACAAAAAAATTTTAGAGCTAGTATTATTGCAGATTAGATAGAGGTAGTTTTCTTCTGCTTTGTACGTATTATTATCTCAAGGTGATTCGTTCCCAAAATAGGAACTCGGAATTAATTGGTGGCAATTCAATATATTCTTATATTAATTCTTATAGATATTGGTATCGTTTACGCGGAAAGTATGCGACTCATAATTTTACCAATATCTGTTAGTATTTAATAGTTTTTGCCAATTTTGTTTGTCTCATTATTAATTTAATTATAGATTCTTCGTAAAAAAATTGTATAATTTATTCATATATGAAGCATACAGTATAGAAACTGCTTTTCCAGTATTCATTTGTTTTTAAAATATATTTGAAGTTTTTATATTTCGTTGATATCTTACAATATATAAATATTGTATAAATTTGAACATAACAAATATTAAATGTATAATTCTGTTTCACAATCTAATTTTAATCTTAAGAGTTTTAGTCATACTAGTAAAAGAACTAATTGTAAATACTATATTGGGGGTGTTTTTATAAAATATTTTTTCCTTGTTGCAGGTCGTAGATAGAGATCTTGAACATTTGGTCATAATCTTTAGAGGTGATTGTAAGAAAGAATATCCATTCCAATGTATATTTCAACTTGTGAATATTATTTTTTTTTATCGTTAATTATTATTCCGGTGTATTTATTTTTCAAATTATGGTCATGGTTAGGCTGGCAATTATTTATAAATAATTAACATGTATGTATTTTATTTTTGATTAACTTTGTCTCTTCTTGTTACAATACCCAGATTTCCTTTACTGAAAAGTCTAATATAAAAAATTCTTCCGTGTTTATATATAAACTTAATATTTATATATACAATATATTACTCCTTTTCATAGAATAATATTAAATTTTGTGTCTGGAAAAGTTAAAATTTACTAATAAAATTATATTTTATTAGTAATTAAAAGTTCATCTAAACCCATTCTTCCTCTATGTTTCCATATCCTAAATCTAGCAACATCTTTTCTTGTAATAATCCCAATTACCTACAAAAAATTCAAAATTAGAGTTCTTTTTACAGCAGAGTATTTTTACAAAATATATTAAATGTTAGTACCTCGTTTGTATCATTGACTACTGGTAAATGTCTAAGACCTAATGCTCTAAAGAGTCTAAATGCTCGTGGCAATGTTGCAGACTAAAAATTAAATGATTAATAAAAAAAAAGTTTGTTCGATCTGTCATATTCTATAAATAAAATATTAGCAAAATACTAACATGTTGCAGTGTATAGGGAGAAGGATTCATAAAAGGTCTTAAATCTATCATATAAGTTTTTTCTTCCTCACTTATGGTCACTTGATCAATTGTCGGATACCTTGGGTATTCTTTTCTGAACAATTTAATACTTAATGATTTTTCCCAATACTCTGGGTTCTTGTTAAAAATTTTGTTTTGTAGTAATACTATTAATTGAGAACGTAAAATTAGCCCTCGAAATCTTCCGTATGAATGTATTTCAGGCTAAAAGAAAAAAAGAATAGATTTAACAAACTAGTAAACTTTTCGATATTCTATAATCTAATATAATGTTACACAGTACCTCATCACTATTAGGAGGATCGACTACAGGGAATCCATTAAATGTTACACATTTGAGAAGTTCTACTATATGTCCTACATTTTCTACAGTGTTTAATGTTACTATTGGGTGACTCATTATTTCACTAGCATATATGTTGTTTGACAATGGTGGAGCTTCCCATGGTAATATGGGAATACCAGCCATTTGTGTATGAATATCATAAATTCCCTATACAATAATAGAGAAATATTAAAAATTATTTGAGACATATACAGATGTATTAAAACATGAAAATACAAATTAATATATCTCCATGCCTCATTAAAAAAGTCTCCAACCCATTTAGCCATAATAAGAACTATTATAAGTGGCAAGCCAAAGGATATTCCTTGAGTAGCTTCTATGAGTATAGCAGTTAAACTTATTGTCATTCTAACTACTCCTCCCAATTGAGCAGCTGCACCTAGTAAAGCATATTTTCCAGGATTTAAAACGACCTGCAATAATTCTTGGTAATTGATCTATTCTCTAATACTTCGAATTTATTTCTATACTTTTTCTTACACAATTTGGAAAAAGTTTCGCAAGCCCTGATCCAATTAATCTACCCCATGCAGAGCCAATTAATAGAGATGGAATAAACAGTCCACTAGACATGGACAGACCAAAGGTAGCAACAGCCAAGAAAAAGTAGAGGACAACAAAAATAGCTAAAGTAATATCATTATGGGAACCTACAAACAAAAAACTGATTGAATATATTCTAAGCAGTTTTTTGCATATATCATCAGCATACCTTTAGGATCATGAAACAGAGATCGTACACTACTCTCTGGTGTTTGAAACCATAAAGCTGCAACTGCGCTGTACTCGCCTTCATTGCAGTACATCTGAATGGGAAATTTGGTAGGATCTTGTCCTAATGGTTTGCAATCGTGTAGAAAATAGATCATTGTAAAACCCATTGTTGCACTTAGCGCAGCAATTACAAGAGCTTCTATTACTTTTAACCATTTTCGTTTTATATACTTCAAACGGAAGCAGGTGATTTTATAATTTAAATGATTCCAACAAGCGCCCAAAAGTCCACCAAGTGTTCCCATTATTACAAATAAAGGAATTTCATAAATTTGGTAGGGTATTGTCTCAAATTTTCCAAGATTTAACAAGCCTGGATAAGAAAGATCACCGGGTCGTCCGTGATACGCACTAAGGATGATATTTAATGTGAATGTTGTAATCATACTAGCAAAAAATGTCCTCCATGTGAGACTTTGATTAAAGAAACTGGTTCCTTCTTCAATACTGAACAATACTCCTCCTAAATTATTGTTAATTAAGCAGTCAAGTTTGTAGTACGTATAATACGTTTCCTAACACTCACCAATTGGTGCACCAAATGCAGCAGACACACCAGAAGCTGCACCTCCTGACACAAAATCTCGTTTCTCATGGTCTTCTCTAAAATACTGAAATATTTTAAAATCTTTCTTAAATGTAGTACTTTTCCCCTGTGATATTCCTGCTGCCACCACAGCCCCAGAGTGTATCATAGGTCCTTCCTGAAATATTATTTTTATTTTTCGTGTCTTTATAGTAAATTATATTAGAAAGATAATAATAAAATCAATATTTACTTTTCCACCAGCTAGACCTCCTACTACTGTACAAATTACTCCTATTGTTTTTACTGCTAGTGTTTTAATACGAACAACTCGAGGTATTTTAACTCCGTTTAAATAGCACTTCACTTGTGGAATACCACTACCTGCTGCAACAGGTTCCACATAAGCTACTAAAATAGCACCTATTAAAACAGGTGCAAAATTTAGAGCTAACCATAGTAGATATGGCAGCCAAAGACAATGGTTTGTTACACATTGATCTACATCTGTTATCAATTATAAGGAACAATTAAATTTATATTTATGCTTTTTTTATTTGTATACAGTAATAAGAAAGGATACAAAATTTTAAACAACTATACTTAAAGATTGTCAATTCTTCTATAGAAATATCTACAAAGCCAGCTATAAGCGCAGTGCAAATGCCTATCAATAAGAAAATAAACCATCTGGCAAAGTTCTTCTTAACCACAAATTTGTAGCCTTTCTTTCTTTCTTCATCTTGCAGAAGATGATTCTCACAGGGATCATAATCTAAACTCTGAAGAAAAAAAAAACAGACGTGTCTTACATATGATACTTTGAAATTTAATTGCTTCTAAGATAAGATATACATAATGATTGATGCAGAAAATTCATCAAAATGATAGATAAACATAATTACAAGTATCAATAATAAAATTAAATATATAGGGTGTATCAGAAAGACAAACTACCTCATAATTGGTTGATAGAAAGTTAGTAGCACCAGGGGGGATTTCGTCGACGTTAAGTCTTCTTAGATTACTGGAAAGTGTTTCCACAACACTCTGTGATGATACATTTTGCTAGAAATACAACAAAAATAAAACATTAAAAATAACTACAAGATTTCAAACTTATTCATGTAAGAGAATTCTATTATCAACATTATAAAGAGTAAGAATTTATGTTTGTACACAAAAGCAGAGAAGTGTCAACTAGGTTATTTCAGAGTATCAAAACAAACGATAAGAAATAGACATTGATATCAAATTATTGAATATTTCATACCCGAAATCTAACATTAATGTTTTCGTTTGAATACGATGCAAAATTATTTCTTGGTTTCAGTAACTTTTCCGTGTCATTTTCATCGTTCACACTACTGTCAATGCTATCATTGATGCTGCTGTTTATCATTACATTTACATCAGTTGATATATTTGTCATTTTTGCGAACACTGTCACTACAATTACATTTTACGAAGTACAAAAAGAGAAATCAAGTCATTGTCCGACTAGACATCAACTTCATTGCACTGTTACCGCATGTTGACCACACAAAGGAGTATACACATTACTAATCACGTGATTGATACTATGATTCATATTTAATAAGAGCGGTGCTCAACTTATGATGACATTTCCATTATTGCAGAATTTGTTACAATTATTTGAACAAGTTATACATTTTCTTTAGCAAATATTGTATCTATGTCGACTAACCTTAGCTAATTTTAAGAGATTGTATTCTTTTCCTATTTTTTACAATTTTGAAGAAAAAGTTCGTAAAAACGTAAAATAATTGGGAAATACTTATCTATAATTTGTTTTTTTTTTTTAATAAGGAACTGCACAAATGTTTTTTTACGAGGAAAATCAAGACATTTGAAAGTGTGTAACATTGAAATCATTGGAAACAAAAATAGACAAGAATGCACTTTGTAAGATAAAAAAGATATGATTATATGGTGAATATAAAAGAAGTATAAAGGAAAAGTAACAAGGAAAAGATATAAAGTATTACAAAATTTCCGGTGTTAAAAATAAGCAATAAGGAAAATTGAGATAAATTCTCATTTCCCTTTCATTTATCAAGCAGTGTTACAAGCATTTATTTTCAATCACAATGTATCGTGTAATTGACATTGCTTAATATATTATAAATGATATTGTCATGATTGAAATACTCTGTTTTATATGCTGTAAGTCCATGTTCCCTGATTACACACTATCTGAAATGGTTGTGTAATTCACACATAATTTTTTCCATTGAATGGGAACGTGGTATTCAGATTGTATAAAACTTTGTTTTATAATAATTCACAACTGGCAGAAGTTGCTATTCTTTATAAAATAAAATTGAAAATCAATCTTTCATTGTAATTTCATCATTGTATTACTGCGTCATTATCAAATGGTTCATTCATAATAATCATTAATCTTTATTCCTTTCGTCAGAATGAGTAACTATGATCAATTACATTCCTCTTGATAATAAAAATAATAATTACAACTTCTCTATTTACATGTATGCTCTTTACAATTAATATTTCTGCGCTTTAACATTCCGCACTTCCAAATAAAGCGTGAAGAGCGTATGCAACGCCTCTAATCTCGTATCTTGTTCCGATGGTATGTCCAAGAGATTGCAAATAAGATCGACAAGCTCTGGCAATTGGCAGTCCAACCGCGTGAAATCCAATTCGGCTTCATTGAGCTTGTCCTCCACTTCCGGTGGCCATTGCTGAAGCAATGAGTCAATGTCTGGCATCGGTTTCGTTAAATTAACCGCGGGAGGATGCTTGCTTCTATGAAGTTGATTTATATCCTCGATCCACTTCTCAATCGACTTTCCATTTTTTTCAGCGTCCTCGATCCTTTTGATCACCGCCTGTCTCGCTGCTCCCGCGCTTCGCAAATGATTACGGAGTTGAAGATGAAGAACGGCTGGATCCGACTGATTGGTGCAAGGTTCGTCCAATACTGTTAGGCCGACTTTGTCTTCGACACCGTCTGGTCGTGGGATCTTTATGAAGGCGTCTATATCACCCACTGCTGGAATGTAGTCGGGAATAAATGGTATGAGCTTGTAGTTCAGCTCGATTTTTTGTGGAGTGTATCTGATAAAAGATAAGAAACCGTATTTATAATTATGTTAAATTACCTTACAATGAATTATACATTAAAATAACTTTCTCGATATGTATATTGTAGTTTATCCATTTTATTTTATAGACGGCTGTCGAATCCTTGGAGGAATATTCATTTATTGAGATACTTCCAAATTCTATTCAATTGCAAGGAGATAATGTATCAACGGATTAAAAAATGATACCTCATTATGTTTTGAAATAATTCCTTCACTTCGGTTGACACTTCTAGATCCTCAAAATCCTTGGGATTGTAAATTTCAATGGGCTGAGCGTTATTTGTCCCCTGGATGTCATCATCATCGCTCTCTTCACTGTCCGATGGATCACTATGGATTCCTATGGATTTTCCAAAGTTATTATCACTGCCTGAATATCTGCAAACAATTTTCATTTCTAAGTATGTCACAATTACTTGTCAATATAAATGAGTTGTACATGAGTGGTACATTTTACAGAAGAATTATACTTGATTATTTTTCAGTTGTATTATTATATTTATGCTGAAAATATTCTGGGAATATCCAGTGTACCTTCGAAAATTGAATTTTTCACGAGGTGAATTAATCCCTATAGCGTTCCGACTCTCATTTACCGGGTACTGTCTGGATCTCCTCGAACTGGAAGGCCTTCGATTCACTGGACTCTGTATCTCCTCAGCATTTCGTACCTCGATACTCTCGTCGAATTTCGTGAACGCTGAAATGTTATGTACCTCTTCTTCGTCGCTGCTGTCTTTGATGTCCATTGTTCGAAAACGAGCATCCGTTTCCTTGAAATATTCTAAACAATTTTCCGAGGGAACAATTACATGAAATTGTTGGGAATAATGTGTTTCAAACGACAATTGTTTTGGTTTCTGTGTCTTGTCTGTTTCTATGGTTTCACCGTGGATCGATGAGCGCATGCTCGATCATTCTCGTCAAGCATATTTTTACGAATATTTGTTATTTTCAGTAAATTTGTATTTTGCAATATTTTTTATAAAATTAATAGTAGCACGTGATTTATATTCTTATACATATATATATATATTCTTCAATACCTGAAAATTTCATTTAATCCGTTCCATGAAGTAGTAATTCATAGATTATTGAAACGGATGCGCAATTAATTTTTTTTTAAGAAACGAACGTTGAAATCATATCATAGTTTTTACGACCATCGATACAAGAAGCTTAATAGCTTGATGTTATTTATGAGACAGAACTTTATTTCTTCAATGATAACGCATCTAACAAAAATTAATAGATATTTCATCCCTGACGAAATCAATCGACCAAACATAGTCAAACGATATTTATTTGTACAATAACCACTGCGTGTACAAGCATCGCGATTACAAGTTATACGATAATAACAAATAAAACGATGAAAGAGATAAAACCTCTTAAAAGTACAAATACAATTTCGCACGAAGGAATGTATAAAATTCATGTATAAAAAAAGCAGTCATTACAATTTCCTCAGAATAAAATCTCTCAAGTTTCATAAACTTGTATCCTTAGATGGTGTTAACATCGATTCAAAAATAAAGCTTCAAAAATTCTTGAAAAATAACAAGATAAAAACAGCCTAAAGAGAATGATAGTAAAAAAAAAAAAGACACAGAACTGCGACCATGCTTAATCGTACGTTGTGAGAACTCGCATCGAAATTGCTGATCGAATGATTCATTTGCTGCTAGTTTCTGACAAATCGTTACACTATTGTTAATTGTTTGGAATGTTAAACAATCGAGACACGTAACAGCATCATCGTTACTAATCATTTTCAATTTGTACGACTAGTTCTGCATTTGATTTCAACATTTGTTTTCACGGACGAATCGAGTTCGTTTAATTTTTTTCCCTCTAGCTTACCAAGTTTCCCGCGCTGAATGGACAAAAGAATTTCGAAAATTATTATAATCTCGCTACACAGGATATTTCCCGTATATGTGGCCGCTCCTCGTTCGCCTGATCAACCATTTTTGATTATTCTTGTGGAACATTTTGCGAGCGGTTTGGATGCTTTGAGGATTTTGCGGTTGGCTCGTGGTCAGACCGAAAATTGATTTCTTCGGGATTCTTGCGGCTCTCGTCTCGCAGGAGCGAACCCTGGCCACGTCCTCGTCGGAGAAATTCCGTTTTGGAACTCGTTGCCGTGAAAATATCGAATCACCGCAAGCGTGGAAACAGTTGGTACTGGAGCTTGTGTTCGGAACGCAGAACGGATTCTCCGGGAGATCTGTCGCGACGCTGCTCGCAAATTGGAGAAAAATGAGCATTTCAACATTGGGAAATTTGAAAATTTTCACACTTATTCATATCAAATTTCCGTTTCACGTCAATTACTTTAATAACTAACGTTTCTATTCCCACAGGTGTGAAGAATTGGCCCTCGCTCTTTTCGCATTTGGACGCGAGGACCACCAAGAGAAAAAGGACGATACAGATGACTGAAAATGCTACGATATCCGTCGTAACGTTCCTCAACGTGATACCACGGAGTTTCGCATCCGAAGCGTCGAAGTTGTCGTTGCTCGTTGCTATCCAGAAGACTTTGTACAAGATCAAATCCTGAAAAGAACAACAATGAACGAATTAGTTTGGATTCTTGGACATTTGCGTCTCTGAAATTTCAAAATGAATTTCAACCGCAAATGCGACAGAGAAATTGCCTTTTAATCCGAGTAATTTTTCTATCAAATCGATTGACATCTGGATGTTTCATTGTCGTGAAACGGAGGGAGGTTAATCACCGTCTTACCCGTAAGTATATGGAAATTTGATGGATTATCAACCGCACGAGATAATAAATGTCGCTCAAGTTGTCCATCATTGTTTGCCACTGACTGATCATCGCGAAATCGATTGCAGATTCATTCGCCTTCTCGTGGATTCAGTGGAAATTTGTCAAGCCATCGTTTGCCAGAAAAATCTCACGTTCCTCTGCCCACTGCCCAAAATTTGACAAAAGAATTTCACGATTCTGCGATTCGCTGTCATTTGTCATGGAGAACTCGATAGAGAAAACAGCATTCTGAAGGAATTTTGTTTATTTATACTGATGCACGTGAAGTGTCGTGGGATACTGAAATTTGGCGCGTTCATAGTACATGTTAAAATTCCTTCTATCTATATTAGTTATCAGCTGTAATTGATACTTGTTATTACTGGAGGCTTTATGCATTTACAGAAAATTGAAACTTAAATTCGTATAATGTACATAAATTATTTAAATAACATATTCATAAAGTAGAATATATTGTAATTGATAAAACAAATCTTTTTAGATTCTATTACTTTAGTGATGTTCATAATAATTTTCAAATGCATTCTATTACTACTTCTAGTCAGTACTATTATATATATTTTATGATTAATTAATAGAATATATACAGAATATATTAATAGAATATATATATATATATATATATATATATATATATATATATATATATACACATATATTAGAATATAAAATAAAATATATATAATATAGAGTTTGAAATAAAATTGTGAAATACATGTGACTTTAAATAGATAAGATAAAAGAAATTTTAAAGCTTTCTTAAGAGAACAAGAAATTTAAAAGGAAAAATGTCTCAGCTTTGCATTTGAAATTTAGAACCTGTAAAACGAGTTGACTAAACTTTTTCATTTATGATTGAAAAATGAAATTGGCGAGTGAAATCCTGTAATTCCAAGCACGTGAGAAATCTCCAAGGTAATAGAAAAATATCTCAGCATTTCTCGCTAATCCGAATTGTTTATTGCATATCAATGAGCAGACAAGCGTGTGTCACGTGTCTGGTTTGCATCTTTCACAAAGTTACTGGTCATGTTATATTTTGTATTATTTTCGACAAAGAACTTTCATTTTTATAACACAATCTTCCAATTCTTATTTATTTCATTTTCTTTTTTATCTTTTTTAGATACTCTTCATTTTTCCCTTTTTTAATTTCTTTTTACTCGTATAAATTGAAAGAAGACAAAGATATTTAAAAAGAAAAAAAACCTGACAGAAGAGATAACGCGTTTTTATGACTTTACGATTTTGGCCTATTCTCCACACATTGATAAAGGAGCGAGTTGATTACAAATTCTTTATCATCGTAACGAAGCTTTGAGGCTTACGCGTTCTAGAAATGATCGCTGGATTACCTGGTTTTATTGTCCTGAAAATTCGTTATGAACTTCGGTATCAGATCAATAAAATTTTTTTATCGATAAAATGTGACTTGTTGTTTAACAAGCTTTAAACTGACCTAATTTGTTGTCGTCGAAAGGGAAAGAAATTCCATTGAAAAAGAAATATCATCGATGAACTTGCCCAAAGCACTCAGAAGTTATTCTCACCGGGAAGGAATTTATTTTTTCGTGAGACAGAGGACGATATATTTTCTTTATCTGAACGCGACGAACTCAGGCGACTTTTATGATCCGAACGTGAATATATCTCGCAACGTGCGGCACGTGCTGCAACGGTATCGTGCATGAAACACCTTGACAGAACCAAGATGAAGTTTGTGGTATGAAAGTGAACGTCTGCTAAGCATAATGCTTAACGAGCGTATCTAATCGACGTGCGCACTAAAACTCAGTTTTATTTTGCACGACTGAGGATCAGTGATCAGTTGTGCAGCAGTTCATCAAACATCCTCCAACAACATCATATAAAACTGTCCTACCTGCCAATTGGAAGAAATTATTCTTTTAAATTAAATAGTTAATAATTTAAGCAATTTCACTAATTTTTACTAATAATTCTCCGATTTTCTCTTACATATATACATATTTTTTTCTCCTTTTTAATTGGTGCAATTAAATTTTCATGTCTTTCCTCATGCCATCTTCCCTGATCTTGGTGAATCTTTCGTTCGTACAATGAAGTGCAGTGAATCCCTGAAAAATTCATTTAAGATCAAGAAATCGTTCGATATCGTTTATTATTAATACCAACAAGTTTCGTGACGTTTCGACGAGTGTTCCTCTCGGATCCATCCAATTTCTTCTTTCAATGTGATTTTACTCCTGCACGTGAATTATGAAAAGGATACATCATCTCTCTTCTTCGAATGTATACAAAGAATAATCAAATTCGATGAATTATTGAGAGTTCGTTATTAAAGAGGATTATCAGAAGAGGATCAAAAGATTTTTATAAGTCTCGAAGTTTCTTCTCGTGCACAAAAACCGACCGCCATGGACAAGATCGAGAATGGAGTTTACGTGAGAGATTTTACGGCAATCCCTCTAATTGAGAGGTAGAAAACTTTTCATTAACGGACAGGGTGTATTTTGCAGAAGACAAATGGTTACACGAACGAGGCGTTCCAGATGGAGAACGTGTACTTGGAGCAAAAAGGGACCGACGAGAAAGCAGAAAAGGGAGACCCTCAAGATGGAAACACCCCAGTCGCCGTACGTTCGTTCAAAGTATCGAAAAGTATCTTTTTGGTACCTTCGTTCGCCTTGGAATTCTTAATTACATTTCGAGCCATTCTCGTGAAAAATTTTTCAAATTTTACACGGACACAAGTGTCGTGTTGTCGAGTTATAATAGAACACTGAAACAGAATACTTTCAATGCGCATTCTCTCGCATTGATTACTAGGAGATTTTTATTCAAGGTTTCCTTCTGTGTTTATCCTTCGGATCGATGGGTGACCCTGCGAACCATTTATTCCAATATCGTGCAACCGCATGAAAGACAGACAGCGATATCAATTTGCATATCATTTCTATTCAAATGCCAGCAATTCTCCACGTCTTTTTCCCAGAGACCAGAATGGGGAGGGGGTCTGGAATTCTTGATGGCCTGCATCGCCGCTTCCGTTGGCCTGGGGAACGTATGGAGATTTCCGTTCACCGCTTACGAGAACGGGGGAGGTGTTTTCCTCATACCGTACCTCATCGTCTTGATTTTCGTTGGCAAGCCTTTTTATTCCCTGGAAGGTCTCCTCGGCCAATTCACCAATAAATCATGCGTGAAAACCTGGGCCATGGCACCGGCCATGAAAGGTAATAATTAATTTAATTAATTAAGAATTATTTAATAATAATTGTTAACAATTTTAACTAATAACCGTTAATAATAATAATTTTAACTAATAACCGTTGATAATAATAATAATTCTAACTAATAACCATTAATAATGATAATTTTAATTAATAATCGTTAATAATAATAATTTTAACTTTAAATTATTTTAATAATAATTTTAACTTTAAATTATTTTAATAATAATAGTAATAGTAACAAATAAAATTAAACAAATAATTTTAACTTTAAATTATTTTAATAATAATAGTAATAGTAACAAATAAAATAAAAGTATTAGGTATTTGTCATTCGTTTATAGGTAAATTTATAGCAAAACTAATTACTAGCTGGCCATTATATTGGTGGCCAAAGATCATTAGGTGAAGTTTAAAAAATATCTATTAATAAAATATTCGAGTTTATAAATTTATAATTGATTCAATACTGTACTATAAGAGCACAGAACTTCACTTCTACACCTAATATATAGATACTTACATTCTTCTTAATTTTTTAAAATAATGTTATAGTGATGGAGCATCTCATGCAGTTTAGAAAACATTCGATTTTGATTCATTTCCAAGGATAAATTCGTAGATACACGTTGGTGTTGATTGAAGACCTAGATTTTGAGCAAATTTTACAAACGACTTTCGATACGTATTTCTTCTTAATTCATTGGTTATTAACAATTGTTGCAACAAGGTAACTTACCTAACAGGACTGTTGCAAACCATGTTTACGATTTTTCGTCAATGTCAAATTTCTTCAATCCTGTATGAATAGAGAAATTTCCAGGGTCTCTGTACTTTGTATTACATTAAGAAAAAGCTTATAAATTAATTAAATATAGGCATTTAAATTATGCTTAGGTTCATTCTATCAGATCAGTACATTACTTACACCATAGACGAGGTAAGTATATATATCATATTATACATGTAGAAAAATAGTTTCTACGTTTCCACACATAAAGAAGAAAGATGAGACTTCAATTAGACGGATAAAATTAAAAAAACTCACAAACAGATCCTCTTAATTAGATTTTTTCTACAATTGAAGTTTGAAATCATCGATTTGGACAGGGTAGCGCCATCTGTCGGTAACTTAGTGACTCTGATAAATTTTAAAAATACTTATTCCTGCATTTTCCGGATCGAGGAGGGTATAGAATTAAAGCTGATGATCTAATTAAGCGAATTCAATCGCAAAAGTTCACAAATTAATCCTCTAAATTGAGTATTTTTGCAATTGAAAATTTGTTCGATTTATGGACACTGAAATGCTAGCGCCGCGTAGCGATGAAAGGGTGGAACTAATCGCAATTACTGTCTTTGTCACTCGCTATTGCTTTCTTTGTTTACCATCAGTTGTCTATCTGTCCTTGTCGTACAGTAGTGCGCTCCTTGTCTATGACGTCATGTATATCTGTCCTTGTCGCACAGTAGTGAGCTCTTTGTCTACAGATAGTGCTGCCATCTAGACGAGGATGGCAATGTTCAATTAGGCAAATACTCAATTTAGAGGATTAATTTGTGAACTTTTGCGATTGAATTCGCTTAATTAGATCATCAGCTTTAATTCTATACCCTCCTCGATCCGGAAAATGCAGGAATAAGTATTTTTAAAATTTATCAGAGTCATTAAGTTACCGACAGATGGCGCCACCTTGTCCAAAACAAAAATTTGAAATTCATTTCTAAAAAAAACTAATTAGAAGGATTAATTTGTGAACTTTTTGAATTGCATATTTCGTTTTTGACCTTCATCTTTCTTTCTATACCTTGTTTAACCCGCAAAACATAGAAATGAAAATTCACAAATTTCACTTCGATAGATCGAAACATGTGCCACGATAAAATTTAATTTCTCGTAAACTATGCACGAAATTTGAATCGAAATTATGCTCGAACACAGTTGATGGCATATGAAACAACTGCCGCTTACAATTTTGGACGTAAATCGCTGTTTAATTGTTTAATTATTTAACGATTTGCACGTGCCCCATTACTCATGCAAAAGTAATCCATTAAACTTAAAATTCATGATCTACCCAGTTAATTTATGAATTATTATGTACGCAAAATAAAGTAGAGTCTGAAGAAGCTTTTGCAATTTCATAGAATGTGAAAATTAATTCTATCCTAATATTAGGACAAACCTAATCTATTACTCTATCTGTTGGTTTTTTTTTTAATAATAGGATTATTATTATATTATTATTATTATTGTTATTATTTTATATATTATTTTTATATTATTATTATTATTTAGGATTATTATAATATTATTATTAATATTGTTATTATTTTATATATTATTTTTATATTATTATTATTATTATTTAGGAATATTAGGATTATTATTAAAAATTATATATATTATTATTATACAAACCTAATCTATTACTCTATCTGTTGGTTCTTTTTTAATAATACGATTTCCAAAAAGGGATTAGAAGTGAATAAACTCGAGAAACATTTTTGGGTTTAGAGGAGTTCTTCCACGTTTTAAGTAATCCATTCCTGAAGATTGCAAAGTTCCTGACTTTAGCACCAACAATGAAAGATCAGGTATTATAGTTGCCAATGCTCTTTAAAATTTTAGGCTTGGGATATGGTCAGGCAATCGCAGCATTCTCCATTGTCACGTGCTATAGCGCCTTAATGGGTTTGACGCTCTATTATCTGGTGGTCAGTTTCCAAGCTGAACTACCCTGGTCCTATTGTCAACCTGAGTGGAAGGATCAGTGCTTCGACATCCTCTCGAAAGACAACAACGCAGACAAGTCTCGCAATAATACCACTCCTCTCCTCAGCTCTGCAGAATTGTATTTCAGGTGATACAGATTTCTTCTTTTTTTCATCACTCTGCTTCTGACATTAATCTCACTGCAACTCAAGCAACACTCAATTTCACAAAATTAATTCAAATTTATTCTGATAGATTAAATTTATTCTATGATTAATAAAATAGTTACATAATATTAAGTATTAATAATTACTTACTACTATTTACTTACTATTACTTATTATATAATATTAAGTATTAATAATTACTTATTACTAAATTAATAATTACTTATTACTTACTAAAAAATTTTAATTTAAAGGGAAGAAGAAATGAGCTTTGTTTCTATTGAGTATATGTTGTTCATTTCTTTTTGTTTTTCAATGTTTCTTAATGATTTGTTTAAGTAGGCAGCACTATTTAAGTAGGGAGCATAATTTATAGCGAGTATAATGAGCAAATACATCTAGAATGAAACTAGTTAACTTGGTAGTTTTATTTGGCTAAATAAAAAAATAAATTATTTCTCATTTTAATGATTGGTGGATTTCTGCATAACTTGGCTCAATTTAAAATATATAAGCTCATAATAAAATATATACATATATATATATATATATATAATACACAGCTCTCACCAATAATTATCCGTATCTTCCTACAACTTATAAATTTTTAATTGTGTGTAAATAATAAATTAATTTAATTATCTCCCAGGAAGATCGTTTTGAACGAGTACGATTCGATTGAAGATGGTATCGGGACACCCTCCTGGCAGCTTTCTATCTGTCTCTTCGTCAGTTGGGCAACGATATTCGGCGTCTTGTGCCGCGGGGTGAAGAGCACAGGGAAAGCAGCGTACTTCCTTGCCATATTCCCCTATGTCATTATGATATGCCTGTTAGTGAGAGCGGTGACTCTCGAGGGAGCTGGTAATGGGATCCTCTTCTTTATCACCCCGGATTGGAACAGACTCTGGGATCCAACTGTTTGGTACGCTGCCATTACCCAATGTTTCTTCTCTCTCTCCGTCTGCTTCGGCCCGATTCTCACATATTCTTCTTACAATAACTTCAGACACGGCGTCAGCAGGTGAGATTCTAACGCTTTATCGAGTAATTCGTAACTCGATAGCGAACTTTTATGTGGATTTAGGTAGACGTATCTGTAATGAAAAAGAAACAGATATATTTGTGATGAAAAAATTGGAAGTTCAACAGAGAATTACTGTTTTATATTTGCCTAGTGTTCTAGACAATACAGCTTTGTGTACATTATGTATTATATACATTTATGTGTATATAATTTTATTTTTAATCTTTTTTAATTATACAGGGTGTTTCCTAACTCGTGGGACCTAATTCGGGAGCAGATTGTACGCCTAAAAATAATAAACAAAAGTCATATAAATATATGTCCTATTTGTCTTCGTTTATGAGATATAAAGCTCCCCAGGGCTCCCCAGAAAAACTGTTTGTTTTCATAGCTAAATCAAGGTCACTTTGGATGAAACAAATAGGAACACATAATTTTTTTTCCACCGTATTATAAAGAACATCGAGTCGAATTCAAAACACATATTATATGATATTTTTATCAACATGTTACGCCATTCACAGTAGTGGAAATCATATATAACATGTATAATGTATATAATATGTATGATGCACATAATGTTTATAGCATAACAACACAATGTATAATGAATTAACTCACAATTGTTCCAGAGACGTAATGATAGTGACGACATTAGACACAATCACCAGCCTGATAGCAGGGTGCACGATTTTCGGGATTCTTGGAAACCTGGCCCACGAAATGGGCACCACAGACATAACGACGGTGGTTCGCGGTGGTACAGGCCTCGCTTTCGTTTCCTATCCCGAAGCTTTGTCCCAGTTTCAGGTGGTCCCTCAGCTTTTCGCTGTCCTGTTCTTCGTGATGATGTTCGTACTCGGCGTCGGGAGCGCCGTGGCCCTTTGCAGCGCCGTTTTCACTATACTATGCGATCACTTCCCCAACGTGACACACTGGAAGATAGTACTCCTCCTTTCCATCTTTGGGTTCGTCGTTAGTCTCGTCTACGTCACTCCCGTGAGCATGCTTTATTTACTCGAAAATCATGAATCGTAGGCGAGCAGAAGAAAAACTGAGTCGTTTGTGTTTCTCTTTTTACTGTCTCGAACTTTCAGAAAAAAAAAAAAAAAAAAAAAAACACTTGAGATTATTTAGAAGCCTTTTGTCACACTAGATGCATGAATAGTCAGTCAAGTTCCTTGAGAGTGAATCTCCCAAGTTTGGAGAATGAAATTATTTTGCTCAGAGGCTCAAACGACCCAGGTGTTGCCTACGAAGAGTTAATAAAAATATTACGAAATAGTTTAACGTTACTGTTAACAACGCGATGAGTATATCTTCCGACTCGAAGGGTGGCCAATGGTTCGTAACGCTGGTGGATTATTACGGTGGCACCTTCGTGGCGATCATCGTCGGCGTTTTGGAGATAATAACGATATTCTGGATCTACGGCCTGACGAATTTTATCAACGACGTCGAGTTCATGCTCGGCCAGAAGCCGTGGTTTTATTGGAGGTTCTGTTGGGCTGTAATCACACCGATATTAATGATCGTTATTCTAGTGTGCACGATCGCTACCTACGAACCACCTACTTACGATGGTGTACCGTTTCCAGCTTACGCTTACGGTTAGTAAAACGTCCTCGCGTTAAATTCCAATAAAAGGTCTGAAGGGGGACGTATAATTTGTTTTCAACTTGCCGCGCACGTCGAGAATATTTCCTCAGTTTTAAGTATATTTTAATAAATTTATTACTTCTCAATAATTTCTGTCCAGTCGATATAACAATATAATACCGACGAGCTGAAAAAGAAAGTGACAAATTGTTGTATTACGGTTCGGTCACTCGTTACGGTCCGCAATCAGTTGCCAGCGCAAGTGATTAAAAAATTTGCAATATTTCCTCAGTTTTAAGTATATTTCAGGTATAAACCGGGCAAAACGAATAACAAATTTATTACTTCTCAATAATTTCTGTCCAGTCGATATAACAATAATACCGACGAGCTGAAAAAGAAAGCGACAAATTGTTGTATTACGGTTCGGTCACTCGTTACGGTCCGCAATCAGTTGCCAGCGCAAGTGATTAAAAAATTTGGAATATTTCCTCAGTTTTAAGTATATTTCACGTATAAACCGGGCAAAACGAATAACAAATTTATTACTTCTCAATAATTTCTGTCCAGTCGATATAATAATAATACCGACGAGCTGAAAAAGTAAGCGACAAATTGTTGTATTACGGTTCGGTCACTCGTTATGGTCCGCAATCGGCGCAAGTGGTCAACAATGAATTTCTGTTTTTCTTCTCCTAGGAATTGGCTGGTTCCTACTGTCTTTAGGGGTCCTCGCGATCGTCGGTTGCATCGTACAGAAATTAGTGCAACTGAGGTCATCGTCGTTAATCGAGGTGAGCGTTTAATCTGTCGGTAACAAAACAAATTAGTTCACTTCATCAGAGGTTCGAAGAGTTTTGGTGTTTTCACTTGTTGCAACGTTAATAATGAATGCGCTCACATTGAAATTACATTCGGATCGGAGCAAAAGTGAAATTTTGTCTCAATCAACTCCGATTGTTAATTTAATTGACGAGTGTTTTCTTTTTTTTTTTTTTTCTTCCGCAGACTGTGAAAGCAGCGTTCAGGCCCTGCGAGGAGAAATGGGGTCCCAACGATCCCAAGACTCGGCTGGAATGGAAGGAGTTCATAGCTGAAAGGAACTTCCAATATCGCGGTGGTTTCGTCGAAACTTTTTTAAAGTAAACAATAAAACGATCAAATGCACGCACCAAGCCTATTCAATTCCCCCTTCACGAACTAACGCGTATAATTCATTTACGTCCATCGTGCCCTGTTGAAACTGTTCACATTTTGACATTTATTATCGCCAGATAAATAGTGCAATTGAATTTTCTCACTGGAACTGATAGGTCTGTTATTAATCCCCGTGGAGGTCGAAGTATATTCATATAATTACCACGAGCCAGCTTGCAAGAAACACTCGCGAGCGTGGAAAGTAAAAAAAATCAGGCATTTTTCTTTGTCAATGACTGTTTCTTCCTTTTTTTTCTTTCTTCTTTGATAACTAGCGATATTGCACAGAGACTCGAGACTACTAACGAGAGCCAGTTGATCATGTCGTATAACAATAAAAGTTTATGTAACTGTCTGAGCCTACACTATGGATCATCCGACGCGTTCGACTTGCAAAATAGCGTCCATCGCTCTCCGAGTCGAATTTTTTTCGAATATACAATTTTCGACACGATGTATAATATGGTAGTTGGTGACGAGGCGTTGTTAATCGCAAATGTAAACTTTCGTTACAGTTTTGCTTAACAGAGGTGTCCAGTTATATTTTATTTACGAATGATACGTGTTCGTTACGACGCAATCCGTTCGTCACTGTTTAATTGTTCAAGTTCTAATATTTCCTACGAGTAACATTTTAATATCCTTTTATTCCCTATGAATTTTCTAATCTCTCTAATTTTTTTTCATTCATTGCTGTCGAAAATTACGAAATCCTACTGATACCGATTTTTTTTTCCCCCCCCCGAACGAAATTTGAAACACTAGAACTCCTCGATCGTGTGGCTAAGTTTCAGTTTTGACAACATAATTTCGCCAATGATAAGTTGAATTTTAAAACGAGGAGAGACGGAGCGAATTCGAGAATCGCGAATTGTTACGTAAGTACGATTAAAACGAGAAGGAAAATTTTATTAATCTATTCCATCGAGGAATGTTATTCAGAAGATCAAAGAGTTCGAGAGAATTCGCAAAGATAAAAGAGAGAAGAAAATCCGTGGTCGAAGAACACGAAAGAAAAAAAAGAAAAAAAAAGATAATATATAGGTTGTATAGCTGTCATTTTCAAGATTTCTCACGATGACTATGAGAGGAGACAAAGGTGTCGATCAGTCTTCGAAACGCTCTTGTGTCGCAAACGTCGCGCTTAGGTTTAGGCAGTCTGTCCGCGTTGAGGAGTGATTATGCGTTGTACAAAGGTGTGTAATTCTCATTTGATCTCTTTATCGTCTCTCTGAACCTTGCTTAAACTAAAGAAGAAAAAGAAAGAAGTTTACACATAAAGTTCACACTCTCAGTGATCATTTTGCAAGACTATTGTCGGAACAGAAATTACTTTCGTAAATCTCGTTGCACATGGCATAAGAAAAATACGTTTATGTCAATTTTTTCAGACGACGAGAGTTTCACAAGTTTTTAGTAAATATTATTACAATTACAGGCACACAGGAAGTCGAAGCTTGATAAACGTAGATATAATAACGTTTTGTAGTTCGTTCTATTTATCAAATGTGGAACATCCCGCTGCAACTTAATCTAAATTGCGGCTGTAAATTCTTTTATTGATGTCTTAGCATTTTTTCTTTTTTTTACCTTAACACCCGTGTCTAGTCAACTCTTGATGTCTCAGTGAAAGACAAGGACAATATCAATGCAAAAGATATTGCCCCTTGTCTTTTGTGCAACAGATTTTATTAGTTAGAATTAAGATTATTAAAATATATGTGCCCTGTAAATATATATATAGAAATAGAGTTTTTCAACACACATAAAATAATGTAGAAAAATAGTTTTTCAACACACATTAATACTTTCCTATAGAGAATGTTGAATTGCAACGGTTAATAAAGCAAGAAGATATATAATTTTATGAGTGGTAACTCCTCCATTTGAAGAAAAAAATTATCACCCTCATTTTGTCACCCCTTCTGTAATAAATGATTTCTGTCACAACAAAGTTTTTTCATATCTTCAGAAGCAACTGAGAGACATTCAAGACAATCAATATGGTTCATCCTGTTGGAATAGCATAAAAGTTTTGGAATTATAAAAAAATCTTTTTTTTTTACAAAACGAAACAAATTTTTGCCTAGAGTCTACTTTTGTGTGCCATCAATTACTTTTTATGGTGAAATTATTAATTTCCATAATAAAATTCCAGAATAGTGTTTAATAATACTATTGTAATAGTATTACACTAAATTATTATTCATATTAATAATAGTAACACATTGTTAGTAAGATTATTAACACTAGAACTACTAACAATTAAAGCATAAAATTTCCATCAGAGACATTAAAGTCAAAAAAAAAAGAGAGAGAGAGAAAGAGGGAGGAACTTTATGATATAATGGAGTATACAATCTTTTATTTTATGAGAAATTATTTAAATCTTTAAAAATACGCTGCTTTACGTGAGATGTAAAATATGTTAGATATAAAACATCTAACAAAAATTATAAATTAGTCATTCCAACCACTTTGATAGTCCTAATGTTCATATCATCTGTAATGTACCTTCCTTAAACAGAAAATACATTTAATGCATTGAAATTAATGGACAGACGAAAATGGAAGAAAATCATTATATATCGATCAAGAAAGCCATTTCCGTTTGCTATTACTCGATGGAGTCATCGATGTTTTGTTCTTCTTTGCTATCAGATTAATATCTGGCAATAATTGTTGTTAATCACACCACACACGTTCGCACGAAAGCGCGAGAAAAACATTCGTTGATATGTCGCGGTTATGGGATTACGTAAACGACTGATTAGCAAAGAATTTAATCGACATCGATGGAAATTGCAAAATAATAGAAGAAAGACGGTCAAAGCCTTTTCTTTCAATTTTATACAGAGTAATTTCATCGACAGCGTGGAAGGCTCGTACAGGCTTTCTAAGATGTCAGCAAGTGGGAAACCAGTCGAGAATGGAGTGAGTTTTGGCTCTTACATTGGTTACTAAGATATCCACTGCTTTTATTAACTTTTACACCTTTACGAGAATTCTAAATTTGACTTTGAATTTGTAAAATTTACAGAAAGCTTCTCACAGTATAATAATGTTATTTTCGTCTACCACTAGTCTTGCTGTCGAGTTTCAAAAAAGGATTTTTACCTTTTCAGTCGACGACAGTCACAGTAGAGGAGAAACCTACGAGAGCTCAGTGGAGTAACAAAATGGAATTTTTGATGTCCTGCATTGCATTTTCGGTTGGCCTTGGAAATGTCTGGAGATTTCCTTACACTGCCTATCAGAACGGTGGTGGCGCGTTCCTGGTGCCGTACGTGATCGTCTTGTTCATTGTTGGTAAACCGATCTACTACATGGAGATGATACTGGGACAATTTAGCAGCAGATCTTGCATAAAGATCTGGTCCATCTCTCCTCTTTTCAGAGGTAACATGTATAATCCGATCAATCTTTTGTTTAAAGTCTGAGCATCACTGGTCACACAGTTCTAACAATTATCAATTTCTGATCTCTCTCAGGCATTGGCTATGGCTTGACGATCTCTGTTTTCTCAGTGGTCACGTACTATTGTTCTCTGATGGCACTGACGTTGTATTATTTGTCAGCTAGTTTCCAATCAGTCCTTCCTTGGGCCTACTGTTGGGAAGAGTGGAAAGATATCTGCTTCGACAGTGCTCCAACTGCTAACAACGAGACAGTAGCAAATATTAGTAGCAAGAGTAGCTCTGCTGACTTGTACTTCCGGTAAACAATCAAACATAAATCTCATACATGTATCGCAGGATTGCCATCTTATCTAGTTAAGAATGATAATTTTGTCAAAATTCTGCTACTAATAATTCTCCTACTAATAACGAGATATATTAGTAGCGAAAGTAGCTCTGCTACTATTGGTAAACAGTCAAACAATCTCACAATAAATATTGCAAGATTGTCGTTTTACCCAGTTGAAAATGATAATTTTGCCAAAATTCAGCTAACAATGCTCCTACTAATAACGAGATATACAGCAGCAAATATCAGTAGCAAAAGTAGCTTTGCTGACTTGTATTTCTTGTAAACAATCAAACAATCTCACAATAAATATTGCAAGATTGTCGTCTTATCCAGTTAAAAATTAAAATTCTATACTTTCGTTCATCTAGCAAGGTGGTTCTTAACGAGATTGGACTAGAGGAAGGTTTGGGACTTCCGTCGTGGCAGTTGGTCCTCGCTCTGTTTGTCAGCTGGGCGTCCGTTTTCGTAGTGCTGAGCAACGGCGTGAAGAGCAGCGGGAAAGCAGCGTACTTCCTCGCTATATTTCCATACATCATCATAATAACTCTTTTGATAAGGGCAGTCACGTTGGAAGGGGCCGTCGACGGAATAATATTCCTCTTTGAACCAACCTGGGAGAAGATCCTCGATCCGTCAGTATGGTACGCAGCCGTGACGCAGTCCTTCTTCTCCCTCGGTGTATGTTTTGGGGCTGTTGTCATGTATTCCTCCTACAATCGCTTCGACCATAACATATTGAGGTAATTATGATTCGTTCAGCGTTCTGTCTGATCCTAGATAACATCTGTCATAACATCTGAAGTCAACGATGCAAGGTTTATTTTCAATCTTGATCAAAACCTCAAGAACTTAGGTATCCAACAAGTGTAAAAACCCAAAACTTGGATGTATTTCTAATGTACAAATTTTAAACGAAAAATAAATTTTAAAATTAAAGAAAAACTTGAAGCTAAGCACATTTGCAAAATACAAAAATGTTGACAAGTTACAATATATAGAAAACTCTGCAAAAGTTTATAGTGTTTACAAATGCTTTTCGTTTAGAGATTGCACGGTAGTGACAACCATGGACTTGGGCACGAGCCTGATAGCAGGGACAACAATTTTCGGTATTCTGGGCAATCTCGCTCGCGAGTCTGACAAAGACATCAGCAACGTGGTTCGTGCCGGGACAGGTTTAGCATTTATCTCCTATCCGGAAGCCCTGGCGAAATTCACCGTGGTCCCGCAATTATTCGCCGTGCTCTTCTTCTTGATGCTGTTTATCTTGGGGATAGGCACCAGCGTAGCGTTCACCGCTGTCGTCGATAGCGTTATTAAGGACAGATTCCCCCATCTCCCAGACTGGAAGATTGCCGGTGGCGTTTGTTCCGCTGGCTTTCTCGTTGGAATCGTTTACTGCACGTCAGTAAGTGTGAACATTCATTTTCGACTCTCTTGACGAAATTACAGAAAGTACAATCTACAAATGAAAATAAGAGAAGAATGTCATAAGAATTTTGTTTGTGACAAAGCTGTAGGCAAATTTTGAACATGGCCTGAATATGTTCTGCGCCTGCAAGATGATGTAGGTAATTTGTAATTTATACAGCCAAAGAAAATTTACTAGTCGTTTGGTATTATTGGCCTTGAGAAATGTATTTTTCTCTCAGCTGTTTGTAGAAAAATAAGTTGGAACTTTTATCTGTGCGTTCAATCGCGATTGAATCTCTTTTCAGGGTGGACAGTGCATCTTAAACTTGGTAGACTATTTCGGTGGGACGTTCATCATAGTGTTCCTTGCCTCTTTCGAACTGGTCGCTGTTTCCTGGATATATGGTGAACCTTCGTTTTCGTTATAACTTCTCTTGACATTTTCAACAAATGTTGGTTGTTTTTATCTCCGCTTCATTTCCCTTGCAGGTGTCGACAATTTCCTAGACGACGCAGAATTTATGCTGGGCAACAGGCCCTCGTTCTACTGGAGGTTCTGCTGGTATTTTCTAACACCGTTGACGCTCCTCTCGATTCTTATTTACTTCCTCTGTGAACTGAAGCCCATCATGTACAATGACGAGTATTATCCAACATCCGCCTACGGTACAGCAAATTCTATAGCCTTCAGGGTGGGCCAAAATCCTACCAAAACAATAACAGATGTAGTAAAACACTTTGGCAATCAACATTTGAAAGAAATAATTTTTAAAACACAATGGAAGAAAATCATGTTCAAAACTTAAATTTAATTTGACATTGATGAAATTAGCTTTTTCTTGTATTTTGATGTTTGATTAAAAAAAAAAAAAAAAGAAAAAAGTAGGTGGGAAGAAACTTTTGCCCCATCCTGCATTGCCTCGACACGAATTTTGTAATGCAAAAGAAATCTTTGTTCGATCTATCAATCATCTCAATTGTCGGGTGTCTCGTTTTTCTGGAAATTTCAATTTCAATGTTTCAGTGGCTGGCTGGTTACTTTTGGGACTGGGGGTGATTCAACTTCCTATCTGGATGCTCGTCAGTAAATTGAAAAACAAGGACAAATCTTACTTGGATGTAAGTAACGAAAAATACATGTGACAGATGCTAACATAATTTGATAGTGAATGAAAAGAAACATTCCTTTCGTAGTTGCTTAAACCGAAACCCGATTGGGGACCAAAGGATCCCACCAAGTACAAAGAATGGAAGGAATTCAAAGACTCGAAGAGGATCGCGAGGATGAGCATGGACAAGAAAAGATCGAGAATCGTTGCTTTATTGATCGGAGAGGATTGACAGTGATCCGTGCTATCGAAAAAAAATATGTACCATCGATTTTGATGCTCTTTGCCTTGGTTTGTTGTCATCGTGCGCTACCAACGAGAACGGCGACATTTTATTGATTTAACGAAGACACTGTGTATCATAAATATTAACATCTTACTAGATACAAATAAATATTGAATTCGTATCTTGCTTCAGTGAGAACGTACAGACTTGGGAATCGAAGCAAGTTGAGAACAACGATACAAGATAATTAGACTGCGGATGTTTGTGCAAATTTGTATTTCTACGGACAATAACAACAACTTGGAGAAGTTTTTAGTCCCACTTGTTAAATGTTACAACAGGTACACTTCGCTCTGCATATTTCATATATCAAATGCACTCCATCTGCATCTTTTACACGTTTCAAAAGAATGTCTTAAAAATGCAGAAACACACGACAGTCTAAAACTACCGCTCGTAACGAGAGCCTCTTTAATCTTTCTTGTGGTCTTTACGAATCAAAGTGTGTATCAATTGAAGCCATTTAGGTTCCATCCTGGCGTTTCTCTCTTTCAAATTCTCCTCTCTGAAGCGTAGCCAATCCTTTCTGTGCTCGACTTCTCTGGGCCCCCATCGCGTCGTCGGCTCGAAAGATTTCTTCAAATTCTACAAAAAAACCACGATGACGATTCATCGGAATTAGAATCGAATGAATTAAGATGTAGTCGAAATGATGTCTGTATCTCTCGAATAAAGTTCATTGTAATATCATTGTAATAAATTCAAAAAAGGAGAGAACTGAAGTTGAATTAAAAACTATGTGTGAATTGATTTTCACGAGGTACCTGTAACAGCGGCAACTTCCTGTTCTTCAGCATTTCCACGATCATCCAGAATGGTATTTGGAAAACGCTGAAGCAAAGTATGACAACACCAGCCGCGTGTGCCGTGGCCGGATACGTTTTGTCACCGTAGGTCAACGGGGAAAGGGTGGCGACAGTGTAAAAGAATATCGTTATCAAAATCAACGGCGTTATCAGGAACCAACAGATTCTCCAAAAACTGCTTGTTTTCCTGTCCAGCATGAACTCGATGTCGTCTAGGAAATTTTCTATACCTGTTTAAACAGAACGTTTGATATTCGTTGGATCGTTCCAATCAAAACTTTTACATAGATCTATCTATAAATTGTATAGATTTTTTTTTTAATTTGATAGATAGACTTTATAAGATTTTATATAGATAGATTTTAACCCGGGATTACCCACTTGGGGGTCTAGGGGCCGGCATGTACCTGCAGTAGACCCCCACGTGGGTAATCCCGGGTTAATAAATAGATAATTGATAGATTTTTATTAGATAGAGAATAAATAGATTTTATAAGATTTTATATAGATAGATTTTGATTTGATAGATATAGACAGTTAGATTTTATAAGATTTTATATAGATAGATTTTAATAAATAGATAATAGATAGATTTTTATAGATAGAGAATAAATAGATTTTATAAGATTTTATTGATAGATTTTATAAGATTATATAGATAGATTTTAATTTGATAGACGTAGACAGTTAGATTTTATAAGATTTTATATAGATTTTAATTTGATAGATGCAGACAGTTAGATTTCATAAGATACATTTTATACAGATAGATTTTAATAGATTTCAATTTGACAGATTTCAATACAAATAAATGTATTTTAACGAATTTTAATCTGATACAAAAATTAATATTCGCAAGAATGTACAAACCGTATACCCAGGTCACGGCAGTGATCTCGAATGAAGCCAGAATGAACACGACGAACGACGTGCCATAGTAATCGACCAACGTCAACAAAAATTGTCCACCCTGCGATCAGAATTGATAATTATCATTGATCGATGAATGTCAAGTGTGATCTCTTGAAAGTCTCGAAAATATCAACTTCATTTCCTTTATCTCTCTTCGCCGATGATCGACAGTAAACAACGGTTTATTAGATATCGTACAAAAATATATATGTATCTATGCATGCGTCTCTGATAATTGATATCTCCAAAGTGCGACCAACACACATTCGTTGCCACGTGTCATCAAATCTGGTACAGGAACACATTTTCAATGTTTACATCGCTAATAGATGTATGTAGAAGAAAGCAAACATTGGTATCATTATTAAACGATTAATGCGTTCTTTGAGTAGTATGTCAAAAATGATACACGTGGCTCAAGTGGCAATGCATGAATGTATATAATTTTTACATACCTTCAATAATAATAATAATGAGATCATTTCAGTTTAATTTATATATTAATGCTGTTTCAATACTACTTCAAAAGTAGTTTGCTTGTAAGATTATTTTCAAATGGAACAGATGGTGAGTTGAAAGATTTGTTGAACTACGTACAGGAGTGACATAAACAGTGCTAACAGCGAATCCTACTGAACAGACGGAAACCACGATTTGCCACATCTTCACGTTCGGCAGCTTCTCTTTCAAGGCGGTCACTAACCCTGAAACCATTCCCACGATGCTGCCCACGCCGAGGACGAACATCATCACGAAGAACAGCACTGCGAATAACTACAATTAAACAAGGGCATCTTATGAAAGTATATCGTGTAAGGTTGAAAAAAAAAAAGAGAAAAAAGAAATAAACAAAAGGATCCTTATTGTATCAATACGAGATAAAAAAAAAAAAAAATAGAAAAAAAGAATCCTACGTGGACAGTTATTCGTTTTAGCATATTCGTTTCTTTTTACTTGAGGCACGAAGGTGAACTTCGCAATGGCATCGGGGTAAGAGATGAACGCCAGACTAGCTCCGGATGTAACCACTTTGTTAATATCCGTCAAGTTCATTTCGTGGGCGAGATTCCCCAAAATCCCGAAGATCGTGCAGCCGGCTATGAGACTCGTTATAGTGTCGAGACTAGTCACAATGAACGCATCCCTGAAAACAACGAAGCATTTTACAAAGCGTGCCCTCCACATTTTCTACGTTCCTATTGAAGAGTAAATCGAATAGTGTGATGTTCATCAAATAGATCAGGCATCATCGACGAATGTTTCTGTCTGTATATTTACCTGTATATGTTGTGTCTGAAGTCATTGTGCGACGAGTAGGTGATGATAGAACCGAAACAGACCGAGAGCGAGAAGAAACACTGGGTGACAGCCGCGTACCAAACAGTTGGTTCCAAAAGTTTCGACCATTCCGGGGTGATGAAGAAGAGGATCCCAGTCGCAGCACCTTCCAGGGTCACTGCTCTGATGAGGAGAGCCAGCAGGACAATGTATGGGAAAATTGCGAGGAAATAGGAGAATTTGCCGGAACTTTTTACGCCCTGGAACGTGATCAAAACAACGGATGACCAACTGACGAGGAGGCACAACGTTAACTTCCAGTCTGGCAGTCCAATCCCATCGTCGATGCTGTCTTTCTCCTGAAGCACCACTTTTCTAGATCGTCGTCGCCATGGAAAAGAAGAAATTCAAAGTCAGAGAACTTCGTACGAAGTTTGTTTCTCTCTCTCTTTGAAATTGAAACTCGAACTTACAGAAAGTAGAGCTCCGCGGAACTCTTGCGTTCTCTCTTGTCGAACAATTCGAGGAACGTGCTGGCGTTTATCGTTTCACTACCGGCCGTTTGGCTGGAATCGATACAATAGTCAGACCATTCGTCTCTGCACTTTGCCCACGGCAATTCAGACGAGAAAGACGCGACGAGAAAGAAAAGTGTCAGGGACATCAGCGAACTGTAATACGTCATTAACGCCACGGTCGAGCAGAACTGGGACCATCCAACGCCTATGGCAATAATTCTCGATACAGTGATCCTGATTCTCCATTGATAACAATTTTACTTCCCGCAACATAACATCGCCTCTATCGAAGAAAACAACAACTCGTTTTCAACAAAACGACATTAACGAATATGTGTTTCGAACGATCGAGAGATAATATAAAAATATTTAATTTTAATCGGTTTTATCGGTTAAAAATCATCTAATTACCACTAAACGCAGGCGAAATGTTCCACACCTTGATCGACGAGGACGAGGAGAATTGGCCGATGATCATCTCCAGGTAGTAAAACGGCTTTCCAACGAGAAACAGGACGATGATGTACGGTATCAAGAATGCACCGCCGCCGTTTTCGTAGGCAGTGAAGGGGAACCTCCAAATATTACCGAAACCTATCGACATCGCGATGCAGGACATTAAGAATTCTATCTCGTTGTTCCACTTGCTTCTCACTTCTTCCGTTCCTTTCGTTGTTTCTGAACATCTTGAGATCGATCCCCTTAGTTCCTCTTCGCTAGAAGACTTCCCTTTCTCCGTTTCGTCCTCGACGAACGCTGGATTTCGGTGGCCCTCGTCCTGTCGAAACACAAGCAAATTTCAAAATCATTTAAAATCGAATGATATTTCAAACGATCTCTGTTCGATTCGCCTTCTTTCTAGCGTGAAGTGCGTGCTTTTTTTGTAACTTTAGAGAATTTTTTGCAAAGGAACTATTTAAACCATTTGCAGTCAAATCGACAAGGTTCATTTCGTACGTGTTTCGACGACGTTTTAAAATTATTTTAGGACAAAGAAAGTTAGAATTAGCGCTGCAATGATCGTTTTTGAAAAAAGGTCGTCCATGATTCCGGCCGTTCTGCTTGTCGGAAATAAAAAAAAAAAAAAACGTGAATGTCCCTTAATTAGTATGGCTATAGCAAGTACCAAGGCCATTCTGTTTGTCGGAAATAAAAAAAAAAAAACGTGAATGTTCCTTAATTAGTATGAGTTTCGCTATAGCAAGTACCAAGGAAAAAAGAAAAAAATTAATAAAAGTAATTAAAAAAGTGACACTTTGAAGTTCGATTATCGATTTTAGTCAAACTTCCTAGAGGCCTAGAAAAATATAGAAAGTAAAATAAAAAAAATAAAAAAAATAAAAAACGTGGAATAAAAAATTTTTTGGTTGATCCTGGTAGGGGCTATAATCACACTAAGTTTACGAAACGCGTACTTCAAATTTTGAGTCAATTGGTCAAGCAGATTTCGAGATATCATGGACACCTGTTCTGAAAAGCATCGTTTCCAGAAAAATGCCTTTAAAGTTTAGTATTGCGGTGACAATGACGCTGGTCGTCGCGTCCTTCAAGCCACCATAACTTCATTAATTTCAGGAGTTCACGATTTAAGGTTACAGAGATTTTTTTTTTAAAACTATATCCTTTAAGAATATGCCAAAAGAAAAAAGAAAATCGATTTTTTTTCACACTAGAATTAAAGTACAGAAGTTCCTCGCGAGGATTTTCCTCCATTAGTTTCGAATGATAATTCGGCCAGGTCTCCTAATTTTCAACGAATCCTCGGGAACCACGTGTACGTTATTTTTTTTTTTTAGAATACTTGCGACAAAGTATAATATCGTGAGTAATAAAACTACGCTGCAGTAAAACCGTCCCGTCGATAGATAGCGATAGAATTAGAGTTTAAGCTCTCTGGAATTATGAGACGATCGTTATCGCGTGAGTAAAATCTCGTTATCGCGAGTGCACGTTATGAATATCAAAGTGTGAAATTTAACTCATTTCTCCCCCCCAAAAAAAAAGAAAAAAAAAATTTCATTACATAAGTTACTCGACGAAATTTCACAAGAAACGTATTACGTACAGAGAGATTGATAACGTTCCCTGAATTTGACACAATTTAAGAGAGTATTCGAGATACATTTATGTCAATATTGGTGATACAATTATGCCAATTCGTTCATCATCTTCGACGCGTGAAAACAGGAATTAGCAAAGGAGAGATCAATCACTATTTCACTGTCACATTTCTCATTCGTCGGACGAACAAGCGTCTCACAAATTTCGATTAATTATCTCACCGATCGTTACCGCGTTTTCCATAAACATCGTCGAGGATATCATTATCACTCCGTTTTCCCTTTTTAGAATGAAAAGAATCAAATCAACGTCCGATCGTTAACGAACATAATCGCCCATCCATTGTTGCACGACGCACATTGTACTTCCACGAAATATCGAGAACAGAGGGGAAAGAGTCACGGTCCCGATCGCACTCACCATTTTTCTCTCCTTGTTCGCCTTGTTGCGCCGACGACGAAAAGAACAAAGAAGAAAGAAAAAGAAGAAAGAAAGAGAGGAAGGACGACGTTAAAAAATTATTTAGATAGAGAATATCGGGAACGTGATTTCGTCTTGCGCCGCGATCGACATCGCCGTGGCTTGCTCTTCTAATCGCGGTTATTATACGTATGCCGATATATTGTACCCCCGACGAATAACTCGGTGAAACCTTGATTGATAAAACGATCGTGATCTCAACACACAGATTACATCGCGGTTTCGTGTATATAAGCCTGAGATAACGATTGATCCGCAAGGATATGAGGCAGTGGCGTCATTATACAAAAATTGTCGCGCCGCATATTTTAAGGGGAGAAAGAAGGGGGCTTTCTTCACTTGAACATTGTTCGAGGTGATGAAATGTTTGTCAGCATGAAACACTCGGTGAATTGATTTTCATCGTGAAGTTGGTGTCGAAGAAATAAAATGAACGTGCGAAAGGATCGTGACGTTGAGAAGAGCATAATCATGGAGCGCCAAATATATATTGTTATAAATTTGATGATAACTTTATGTGAATAATAATTTAACGACAACCTGATGATCAGTTTAATGGTAACTTTATGTATCAGTTTAATGATAAATTTAATGATAATTTTAATTTAATTTAATTCAATTCACGTACTTCTGATCCTTGCCCTTCCGCTTCGGATGACTTCCGGTTTCTTTGTGCACAGTTACAATGTTGCCATTAGATTACAATTCCTTCTTTTGCCCAAAAGTATTGAACTAATATAATATGCCTATATATAGACTAATATAATATAATATAATATAATATAATATAATATAATATAATATAACTATAATATGCCTATATATAGACTAATATAATATAACTATATACTGATATAACTATAATGCCTATATATAGACTAATATAATATAATATAATATAATATAACATAATATAATATAATTAAATACTATGTACTAATATAATATAATATAATATAATAAACTATAATATAACTAAATACTATATACTAATATAATATAATATAATATAATATAATATACCTATATATATATATATATATATATATATATATATATATAGGCATATTATATTAGTTCAATACTTTTAGACAAAAGAGGAAATTGTAATCTAATGACAACATTGTAACTATGTACAAAAAACCGGAAGTCGAAAGGCAAGGATCAGAAATAAATTAAATTAAATTAAATTAAATTAAAATTATATATATATATCAAATACAACTAATTTTAAGTGATTAAAAGTAACTAGACTCAGCTGACTATCTCTAACTTTACATTACATTACTTTGTTCTATAATTATAAACGTAAACAGGACAAAAACAGAAACAAAATGAGCTAAATAACACGCTTGATAATAAGCCTAAATTAACGAAAAATCTTTGGTAATAGTTAACTTTAATTTATATATTGTTTATAATTTAATGATAAATTTATATAATTTTATATATTTATATAATTTTATATTATACATTTTATAAATAACATGCAGCGTAAATTTAGGACAAATCTGACGATTGGCTTAATTATCAATCATCTGAAATTCAATGTGATCAGCTGAAAGAGATTCTGGAGGAACGTGGTTTGTATCGTTACGACTTGAAAGAGCGGGAACTCGACGAGATCAACGAAGGGACGACACGAAATAGAACAGTTTGGTAATGACTGAAAGGGAGGAAGAAGAACGCGTGGAAAAGATTGAAAAATTCAGAGAAGCTTCGTCATCTCGGAAAGAAGTCGAGGAATTCCCGCGCGAAAGATGGACGAGTCCGAAGCTTCGTCAACGTCTTTTTAAAAACTGGCTTCACCGAGAAATTTCACAGGTGAGTAGGAAAAACGAAAGAAATTTCGAAAATATCGACGACATGAAATGAAACAAAAATTAATTTTACAGCGTTTAAAGAAAAAAAAAACTACCGTTTTTAGACTTCTGAATGCAATGGGCTTTACTCTCGACGAAAGAAGAAGAATTACGAAAATTATGGAATTTGGAATTAGAGTGTCCGCAGGAAGTCGATTCCTCCATGTCTTCGACAACGAAGAGGAATACTTGTCGTCGGACAGTCTTTATTTGAAATATCTGCTCAGCAAACACTTGACACACGCTATTCGAGAAATGATCACTAGGAAACCTTCCAACTCCGTCGAATATCTTGGCCACTGGCTCTTAAATTACAAAGTCGATTGTTCCAAAGTTCCCTGCGACTCTCAGATTTGTCAACTGTAAAAATTTCAGATCCGCGAGGAGAGAGAGAGGAGGAGGAAGGAGTTCGAGTTGGAGCTGATGATCGAGAAGGAACGCAACTTGCAGCTTGATTCTATTTTTTTTTTTTTTTTTTTTTTACGAAAAGTAAAACTCTTCGTCTTTGAAAATTGATTGTGAAACAGCACGAGGAAGAGGAGGTGTCTGTGTCGATGCAGGAAGAGGAATTTCCCGATGACTGGAGCTTCGTAAACGACGAATAATTGAAAATTCATTAATTACAAATTTCTATAATTTGTCGCGCTAGACTAGTTTAGAATTTATTACACAAGTATTGCCTATACGTACATGATGGTCATTCAACCACATAATTGATGACGATTAATGATAATGGCAAATTGAAAATAATGCAACGAAAGAATAAGTTCAATTCCAGCCTCTAAATGCTGCATAAATAATAATAATTACACTCATAACAATGAGTTAGTTGAAATTATTGATTGTCGTAGTTGTTTCATTTTCATAAAATTATTGATTATTCGCAGAAACAGGATTTTACTTAGAGTTGATGAATTACAATTGATTCCAAATATATACCAATACGAAAGAAGAACAGAACAAAGAACTAATTTTCACGGTTCGCAATTCATATTTAAATACTTTTGATTCGGCGACGCGAATAGAAACATTCGGTGATAGATTGAGAACAATAGAACACACATTGCAACTTGGAATGTGTTATTAAATTCCAAAGATGTTCCCATTTTCAAGTATCAAGAGCATGAAAACAGCTTTAACCGGTCGTCTGAGGAATCCTTGACCGTTCATTCTATCCGTGTATGGAATTCCCCGGCTTATACGGCGAGGAAGACATTTCAATAGAAGAAGTCAACCAACGACACTCGAACGCAAATGTGTACAATCAATAATAATGAATCGTTGTACCAGTTTTACGGCCACTCGAGAATTTGAATTTTGCTACTTGTCAAGCTTTGTTCAGTGTTCACAGTAATCAGTAATTATTCGCAATGAAAATACAAAAATCTTTATTATTGGCTGATACTTAATAAGCTTCAGATAGTAAGCTTAACTTTGGAAAGATTGCAATGTTAAATCACTCTGTCGGTAAATAATTACAATATAAAAAATAAAAGTTACTTTAATTAAATTATAAATATAATATTTTAATATTATATATTTTATATATTATATAACATTTTAATATTATATATTTTATACATTATATAACATTCTAATATTATATATTTTATATATTATATAACATTCTAATATTATATATTTTATATATTATATAACATTTTAATATTATATATTTTATATATTATATAACATTTTAATATTATATATTTTATATATTATATAACATTCTAATATTATATATTTTATATATTATATAACATTCTAATATTATATATTTTATATATTATATAACATTTTAATATTATATAAAATATTTTTATGCTGTATTTAAAATTTTAATATAAGTTGTATTTAAAATACTGTGATATTTTAAAATAGCTGACAATGAAATTGAACGTTTTACTTGAAGAAAGAAATGACTGTTTGTCAGCTTAACATAATAACGAACAATGGATGAATATACGCGAACGAGGAAATTTATTGACTGTAAATTAAATCATTGTAGTAAAGTAACCATGAAGATGCAGAAATAAAAGACATTGACGATTTAGATTTCCTTTTCTATTGTTGTATAGCTGGAAATGTGGTTAATTTTAGTACTGGGTGTCCTGTAAATCACGGTACAAATTATTAGTTGATAAATTACCTAAACACAATTAAAGCTAGATACAATGTCTACTTGTCACTTTCTTATCTAGTTTATTAGTATCTTATTTAGTTTGTTTTAAGAACGTGTTGATAGATAAATAATAATAATAAACAAAATCCCGAAATTGTATGTAGTTACGATTTGTAGTGAGTTCTATATCAAGTGAGACAATTGTCAGTTCAGTGCAGATGTACTCGACTAATTTTCAAATGCATTTTTCTCGAAAACGAAACTCCCGACGCAATTTTGTCATTCTTGACTTTCACCTTATTTTGAGTCATAGAATCATCCTGATCCAATTTGTACCACAACTCATTACACTCTGTATAGTAATAAACTCTGGTATTCTGTGACGAATTAAAAGGAATCTGTCAATCACAATATCTGACAAAATTCAGATTCATTCAATTTAATTCATAGAAAATTTATAGAAACATTTATACTCTTGAGGTAGATATATATATGTGTATATACTGTTTCCATTTGATCGTTCAATTTGATTTCTTTCAAATCATTTCTTCACCATTCACCATTCTTCTTTCCCATTCACGTAATTGTATCAAAATTGAATTTTAATATTAAATCTTACTCGACACACATACGGACAATACGAAAGAACTTTTTACCAGGTAATTGCAATCGGTGTTAACCAGTTTCCGGCAGATACAGCTGGTTCACGGTTCACTTTCACCTGCACAGATGTTCTTATCCCTTAACTACCGTCGAAGGTCGTTCAACACACGAATTTCAAAACTGCACGTTGTAGTTACAATTAGTAAATTCGTGTCGAACTCCATTTCGAGTCCTGAAGAATTCTGTTCACGATATAAAATTCTGTGTTTCACTCTTCAAATGTTAAAATCCTCGCCTTTGAGCCTTTTGAAAACAGTCTCACTTTTTTCTTTTTTTTTTTTTTGAGAACAACATCTCTCAAAGACAAAATTTCATTCCATATTTTTGGCTCGTCTTTGATACTGCAACAAAGTGTTAGATCTTTGAAACGTTGTGACAATTAAGGACGGTAGAGAAACAACCGTTTGGTTGATCTTTAGTATGAAATTCATTTATTTCGACTTCTTCTTTCAGCGTTCTTTCGTGTTCAACTATGACTGCGACAGTTCGTGCAATTCACATTTATCCTTGATGCAAGGAGAAGCTCAATGCAATCAAGTAGCATTCGTTAAGCATTTTTTCCCTCAATCCGTGGATTTTATTTCTTTGTTTCGTTTATCCTTGCATCTCAAAGTCTTCGTAAATTCTACTCTTACAAAAGACAAAGCCCGCCATTTCAAAATGGTTTAAAAAAAACGGAGTTTAAGAGACTTCATTCATCTTTGTTTACTGTAATACGGTCATTTTGTCCAATTTTTACGATATAAAAAACTCCCGAGTAATTACTCGCGATACACGAAGCGACTCATTGGAAACTCATTACAGAAAAAGAGAGGAACGAGTCGTCTGAAGAAAATGAAATGAAACTCCGTACGCTACGAGAATCACACCGCATATCGTTCGAAATATCTTTTCAAACTCAAAAATTGATATATCTGTTAGAGATTCAGTGATCGTTGGTAATTAAAAATTGATCAAGATCAGAGGTGATACTCCTGATGAGTGACAAACTTTTACACAAGGAAGAGAAGGGACAGAGAACAAATAGGAAAGGAGTAACCATTCTCCTCCCCTCCCCCCCCCCCCTCGTTCGCGATCGAGTTTAGGTTCGCGATCCCTACTTCGATTACCTTTCTGTCAGCGTGGCACGCAGTCGAACGTGGGTCAGTAGGAGTTCGATGCACGTGAAGGTGACGTACTTGTCGCGATCGTTGCCATAGATGTCACAGTGTTATAAACTCGAGGTCCTCCGCGCGTTTCAGTTCGTTGAGAATCACTGTCCTAGTCGGATATCCGGTATTCCTCCGGGACTCCCCGTCACGATTTACCTGGCGAATCGATCAGGATGAACAAGGTATCGTGTTCTTTTCTTTACTTTGAACGACAAACAAGGAAAACCTTTTACCTCTGGTGATTTGACGATTTTGAAGGGATTTGTATAGGTTTGTTTATGGAAAAAGGAAGCTCTGAAAGGAGTATAAAACCAAAGCGAGACGTTCGTTCACCGAAGTTAACAAAGTGTTCGCTAATAAATGAAACGAATTTCCATTTAGGTTTCATTTCTTTCATTTCGTTGAGTCTGGAATTTCTGTGATGAGTGCAAATACAGGAAGAGTTTTAGTATACTTCTACCTGAAATTGAAATTCTTCTTATGACACAGTATTTACAGCCGTTTAATTTATTATAGTGATGTGTTACTGTTTCATTCATCTTTGTTCTAATCCTTGGTCTAATTCTCTGAACGAAGATTAACAAAATGGACGGACATCAAATTTTAGCGCTTTATCTTCGCTTTCGTACATTCTGTATGTACGTGAATTATTTTCCGTGATTCTTGGTTTGGAGGTGAACAAGTTGCAGTCGATGACGTAGTCATTTGGCGATCACATTGATTGAAGCGGTTGTAACAGCCAAGGTGAAATTTAATTGTCATACTTTTTTCTCTATCAGCCGCAAGATCTCGTTAATTAAGAGACATACGCAGCTATGTAACCTGCGGCTGTGAAACGAAAAAAACTTGAAGAAATATCAATTTACTCTAGACCAAGTTTCGCTACGTCTCGTCAAGGAACAGTGCATAATTTTGAAATTATGAAACTGGATCGAGGTTACTGAGAACGACGCTGTCTGTCTCACTCTGTTGGAAATAGATGATAGCATCTAACAGGCCATACGATCAGGCTAGGAAAATTGTGAAATGAAAAGGTACACCTCGGCTTGTGAAAAGGTGAAAGGTGCACTTTAATTGATACCTATTGTTAAATTGGCACTTGGTCGTTGGCCGAAATGTAAATATTTGCAAATGTTTACAAACGTTACTTGCCACTGTAAGAATCCTAAACGATCATTCTGCTATAAATAAATATCATTTTCCACTTTTCTCTCGTTGTCAATTTTACGAAAGATACTGGAAGAACAGTGAAACATTCTGCTATAAATAAATATCATTTTCCACTTTTCTCTCGTTGTCAATTTTACGAAAGATACTGGAAGAACAGTGAATAAATATGAAAGCGGGGGCACGATCGCTTTCGTGATTACACAACGTCACCACGAAAAATGTCTTAAATAGACCGTGAAAGTTTCTTTCTGTTACTTTCTTCTTCCTTCTAGCTAAATTTCTTTCTCAACGATCATTGTACGAAATTTTTCCCGTTGCCTTTTAATCGGTAAAGGTCTGTCTTAAACGCGACCCGTTGAACGCTACCAGTGGAAGAAGCGTCCTTATAATGAGATGAGAAGTTGCTTCACTGACGGATCACGCGATGTGCCCGGATGTTACCGCAGACGTTTAATCGTTTAGAAATTCCAGTAACGCATATTAACAACTCTGACGTTAAAATCGACTGTGTGCAGAGTCATTCGACCAGGCTCTTTCTGCGAAAAACAAGGGTGCAGAAAAGAAGAAAATAACGAGTTTCCTCTTGGACTTGTTCATCCTCTCACAAAAAATTCTGTCCATTTGATACTTTACATATGAATGATTTTCATTCGGGGAATCTTTCTGCACTGCAGAGCTGTAAAGAGAAAATTGATATTTTAATTGCAAACACACTTGACACAATATAATATTTGATGAAGCGATGCGACATTAACCAAGAGTATAAACGTTTTCTGCTAACCATCCATTCGTGTGTAATTCTCCCACTATACCTTTCAGGGACAGATGTGAGGTAACAACAACAGTTAGAAATCGAATCGGCATGCTAGATTACGATACTTACTTTTTTGTTGTTATTACAGATAATGAGACACGATACGCAACGTACAAACGTAATTGCGTCATGTTAATTGTATCGATCGTTTCGAAGGATGGTTTTCATATCCTCACGATATTTCATCGATATTTTCGTGCACAGAATACGTTGCGTATGTTTCACGATGATCGAGCGTTGCCAAGGTATGCAGGCCCGACACAATTAATGTTTATCAGTATATATGATATCATGGTACAACGTGCATAATTGTTGTACGAGAGTATATGCATCGTACAATGTCATGCATCGCATTACTCGGCCATCCTCCTCGTAATCGACGAGTTGAAATGTTAAACGAAGCATTTTAAAGTTGTCACTTGTACGATTTTAGCTGTGCCATTAATAAACGATTAAAGGACATTAGGCATTAATTCTTTATTTATCGCTGAAAATCGCTTTATTTATTTTCTCGGTACTCACGTAGGTGTTTATCCAGTTTAACATACTTGAATAATTTCCTTGATTCTCTGTAAAATGTTGCGCCAAATAGACTGAAGAATACATACACACGATGTCAAACAAACCGTTACAACGTTGTAACAGTGCGGAGCCTCTTCTATCCTGTCTCAGTATTTGAATGTTATGTTACCAGGGAAAGAATATCTGCTAGTAAAAATCAATATTAATGGTTGTTAATAGTGTAATTAGGTCGAATATTAAGATTTATTATTCAAAAAGTAAAGGAAGAGTCTATTATGCGTCCTTATACTATTATAAGGAGGAATTTTCAGACAATCTTGTCTCCCTTGGAATAACTGCAACATGTGAAAGGTAATGGCAATTTAGTACACTCTGTGGCTAGAGATACATACATATGTATGTAATCCGTAAACTCGTGTGTAGTGTAGTATTTCAGACTATGGAAACTGTCCATGCAAAGTAAATAGCAATGCCTTCGTGTGACGATTCTTTCGAGCCACGTACTTAACGACCACACGGTGTATTTTACAATATGATCATACGTAATTTGTTTGGAAGATAATCGAACGAAACGTTACATAAATCATTGTTCCATTGACATTAAGGAGCTATATGTACGTGAACGTTATATAGTCGTGTAATCATTTCTTCGTAGCAGGGACGACAAAACGCTGCTTTCATTGGAGACGATGGCCACGCCACTACTGATTTTCAACGTCCCGCAACAGGTGACGATGAAAAGGTAAATAAATATCAATGATCCCAGGTGTATCTCAGAATCTCAAAGGAAAATATTTTCTGATTTTCAGTTTCGTGATAACAACAGCTCCCTCGACTTTTCTTATGGAACTCAGCACGATCGTAAATTCCCACTTTCCTTGTCGCTCTCGGAGGGAACAGTAAGTTCGCTGGGATGTTCGAATTTCTTTTTGGAAAATGATTCCCTTTGAAAAAAGAAAAACAAAAAAAACGAGTCTTTTCTTCTCAAATTTTCCCAGACTGTCGCGGAAAGCCAAACGGAGAGAGATACTTGGGGCAACGGTTTAGAATTCTTGATGTCCTGCATCGCCATGTCCATAGGTCTTGGCAATGTTTGGCGATTTCCATTCACGGCCTACGAGAATGGCGGCGGAGTATTTCTAATACCTTACATCATCGTCCTGTTTCTTGTTGGCAAACCGTTTTATTACCTGGAGATGATTATGGGGCAATTCTGCAGTAGATCCTCGGTGAAAATATGGTCGGCAGGTGTGCCATCCTCCTTTAGTAAAAACATAGATAGTATATAGTAAAACAATAACATATATATGTATGTTATAATATATATAATTAGTATAAGAATATATATAACATATATAGTATAGTAAAAACATTGGAATCTTGGAATGTGAAATATTAAGAATATATATAACATATATAGTATAGTAAAAACATTGGAATCTTGGAAATGTGAAATGTTGTTACATTCGTGTGAAATGTATTTTATTACACTATATATGTAACATATATGGTATAGTAAAACAGTAAATAGTAATAATATATATAGTATAATAGTATAATAAATCATAATAATAGGTAGAATATATTTAAAAACATTGGAATCTTGAAATGTGAAATATTATTACGTTTGTTTGAAATGTATGGAAAAATTGAATTCTCTCAGTTTTGAAATACTTGCGCCTGATGGAGAACTTTTTGCCAAAGGTGTATTATATTTCAGAAGTACGTTATATCTTTTTCATTGATAATAATAGATATAGGACGAAATATATTTTCCTCGCAACCTGAAAAGAATTTAATATCTGAAAGTAACTGCTCCCGTTTTACAATTGCGACACAACCTAGTGTCGCGATGAGCCAAGAATGTCAAAGTTTGAGCAGGAAGTGCGAGATTCAAGACCGGTCTCGCAAGTTGAAGTCGTTTTGCTACCTGAATCGTATATACCGGTATATATACATACATCGTGGTTTAAGTCAGGTTTAAATCATAGCTTAAGTTATACATCGTAAATCATTGTTTCCATTCGAGTGCACCGATCCGGAATTCCTTATACTTTTACGACACATCAATCGTTATCGATAAAGAAACCTAGTCTCCTTCCACAGTCCATTGATAAGCACTTCTCTATTCAAAATTAGTCTTGCTTTAGAGAAATTGATTACGAGAGTAATTATACCATATTGGCTTTTTGAAGGCTATTCCATTTAATTCCAATTATAAACTTAAAACTTGTTGTTAGCGTTCATCCATTTATAATTTTTGACTATTGAATTTTTCTAGCGCCTGGATTTCGAGGAGTTGGTTGGGCACAAATGTTCTCTATGCTCTCAGTAGGGACATACTACTGTTTCTTGATGTCGATAACACTTTACTACCTGGTCGCAAGTTTTCAATCGCCGCTCCCTTGGTCCACATGTTTGCAAGAATGGGGAAATTTTTGCGCCGATTCAGGAGGCTCTTACAACGTTAGCAAACAGAACAGCACCAACATGACTATGAGCTCTGCCGAGCTTTACTTCAAGTAAAACGTTTTTCGCAGCCTAACTGCAACATTCATCATCGTTATCAATAGTTGAAGTATTTGGAATTTTGTTATATTTAGGTATTAGTAATATCTGGAATTTGAAAATAGAATTAAATGTCAGAAGTATTTGAACTATTTAGGAATTAAAATATTTGTAAATTTGACGTACAATCAGAGTGTCTGGAATATTTTGAACTATATTTAAATCCATTGATATCTAATTGCAAATATATAATCTAATGTATGAAACCTTGATATTTCTAACCATGAAATTACAGAATGTTGAACTATTGCTACATATTAAGAACTATGAGATTACAATAGTTTGAACTATATATTTAAATCCACAGATAGATCTAATTGCAAATGTAATCTAATATATGAAACCTTGATATTTCTAACTATGAAATTACAGAATCCTGCTAAAAAAAGAAAAAAAATAATAGTAAATTCATTTCTTCTCTCTCGTCAGAAAAATCGTGCTGAAAGAAAAGCAGAGTATCGACGACGGTATCGGACTGCCCGACTGGAGTTTGACGATTTGCCTGTTCGTCGCATGGGCCTGTATTTTCGCTGTCTTGGCACGTGGCGTGAAGAGCTCAGGGAAAGCGGCCTATTTCCTCGCCATCTTTCCTTACATCATCATGATAAGCTTGCTGGTCAGAGCGGTTACTCTGGAAGGTGCCGTGAACGGGATCATTTTCTTCATAAAACCGAACTGGAAGAAGCTATTCGAGGCACACGTCTGGTACGCGGCTGTTACACAGTGTTTCTTTTCACTGTCGGTCTGCTTCGGTGGTGTTATCATGTACTCGTCGTACAATGACTTCAGACATAATATATACAGGTTACTTATTGACTTCTCTCTCTCTCTCTCTCTCTCTCTTTCTGTCTCTCTCTTATTTTTTTCTTTTTTTATAAAACGATAGTTCGTTAGAAACAACTAGCAATGATTTCTATTAATTTCTTTGGTTTCTTCTTAGTTCTCAGTTTTTCTTTCATTATTTTCATTTTCATCAGTTCTTCACTTGAAATTCGATAAAAAAGAATTGTAAAGAACGTGCAACTTGGAAATGATGACAAACTGTTGGATCAATAGATATTAAAATAAAAAGCTACATCAAAGTTAAGAAATAAGATTCTAAAACATCATTCTACTTAAGTAACTTGTCTGCTTAAATCTTCTTTGTTTCAATTGATTATTGAATATGATAATTTAGAGTATCCTACTTTGGATATCAATCACTTCACTTTCCGCAGATTTCTGCACGTTTCAGTTCCCCATGCAATGGAACCTTGATAATAAATTAAAAACAAGAATTACAAGAATTCTATCGTTAAAGCTCTAATTAAAATCGTTACTCGAGAAGAAAGCACACCATCCACCCGGATTTCCATTAAAATTTCCACCTCTCTCAAGATCACTTTGAGAACACTTTCTTTAGTGAATACCAACGCTAACCAAGCAATTGAGCACTATTGTTTTATCATGATGACCGAATCTAACCCGTAGGAAACCTCAGCGTAAATTTACATTTTTCTTTCTTACCTGTGTTTCGCTTCAGAGATGTCATAGTTGTAACCACGCTGGACACGTTTACCAGTTTAATGGCTGGTTTCACCATTTTTGGTATCCTTGGGAATTTAGCTCACAAACTGGGCATCGAGGATGTCAGCAACGTTGTCCGCGGTGGAACCGGTCTTGCTTTCGTCTCTTATCCAGATGCCATTGCGAAGTTTACTGTTCTGCCTCAGGTAAGGAATCTAGTGCACGTTCAATTGCTGTGTAACCACAATGCTTTTCCACTACTCCGAGATAAAGCATTAAAAGATTTAAAAAGATAAAAGACGTACCGAAGCGTGGACAGTTCTTTCCAGCTATTTCTGTTTTTGTCATGTTGACCTTCATTATGCAATGATTTACCAAGAAAGTGAAATATTAAATCGTCATCTATTGTCCACTCGGACTCTGTTTACTTTATTGTGTCGCACGAAATTTAAAAATTTGAGGCTCTGTTATTTTTACCATTCTCTCTCATTTTTATCACTTTGTGAATGATTGTGATTACAAGGACAGTTCCAGTTGTTTCACCGTTTATCGATAAATTCGATTACAGTTAACATTGAAACAAATTAAATTAAATTAATTAAAATCGCTTCAGCAATTTTCTTCGATAATTTTCAGTTCTTCTCGGTACTCTTCTTCTTAATGCTCTACGTCCTCGGGATCGGAAGTGCAATCGCGTTGGCTGGTGCTCTCATCACTATTATCAGCGACCAGTTTCCAAATCTGAGGCACATATACATAGTGATCGGCACAGTTACCTTTGGATTTCTTGCTGGAATTATTTACTGCACGCCTGTAAGTCCTTTTCGTTCACGTTAATAATAAATTGGTAACCTGATCGATTTATCCTTTCTTTTTTTTTAATATTATGGACTTCAATCTATGTCAATTTCTTTGTTTTAATTATACACTCAATATAATTGATAATTGTGTGTCTCATTTTCTTGAATCATTTTCAGTTTATAATTCTCTTGAATCTTTTTATATTATACATAGGGTGGTCAGTTCATGCTGGAATTAGTCGATTTCTACGCTGGGTCATTCGTAGTGTTCATTTTGGCTACTCTCGAGATAACCGGGATCTTCTGGGTGTACGGTTTGGAGAACTTCTTGGACGACGTGGAATATATGTTGAAGAAAAGGCCGTCGGCTTACTGGAGAGTTTGCTGGGCCATCGTTGTCCCACTTTTACTGGCTGTGATCCTAATTTATACCATAGTCACCCTGAAGCCCCTGACTTACAGTAACATCTCGTATCCTAACAGTGCCCACGGTTTGTATTATCCTTATTATTATTATTCTTGTTATCATTATCCTTGTATTATTATATTGTTATTATGTATTATCCTTCTATTATATTTGTTATTCCTTCTCTTGATTTACGAAACGAAGACTTCGTTTTCAATGCAGTTAAATAACAAATGCATATATTTTATATTTGATGGAAACGTCAATGATCTATCGGACATGACCAACCTCAGATTTTCTTCTTTTCTAATAGCTTAAAAAATACAAGTACTAGTATTGACTTATGTTTCAAACACAATTGTATGTTATTTTAATTATTAATTGTACATTGTATGTAAAGTAGAATATTTTGATACGTACATATGTTTGAATGTTGTTCTACTCTACTATTGTTCTAATTCAAAACTATAGTTACACATTACTACAATTGTAGGACAAATTTTTTTTACTAATTTCCTGCAGAATTACTAAAGCTTCGTACTTTGTAGAATCGTTCCCCAGCAATCTAATGATTTTCAATTTAGAGAGTATTGAAAAGGTAGTAGAAGCTGATCAAGTGTGTCATAATTTACAGCGGCTGGATGGACACTTTGCGCGTTTGGTATACTGCAAATACCCTTCTGGATGATTTACACCATAATGTCGAAAAGAAATTTAACACCCGTCGAGGTTCGTACGATTAATCGATGATTTTTCTCTTGTCTTCTTCGTATATAAAAAAAAAAAAACTATGTAATGAATAACAGTAATAAAAAAATTTGAATCTCAATTCTCAACACTGAGCCAACACTAACAAAGACTAACTGGCGGCCCTTGCCTCTACTTTCCTGATCGCTAGTGCTAAATCAAATTCGAAGTGGAGGGGGTAGCGATCAAGAAAGTAGGGGCAGGGGCTCCCATACTGCAACAGAACCATTCGAATTGAGATTTAACAAGGAAATTTAGTAAATTAATAAATTTCACAGATGATAAAGTCTGCCTTCGTACCTTCGCCGGACTGGGGACCGAAGAATCCCAAAGAACTGGCTTCCTGGCGCGAGTTCAAAGAGACCAGAAGGAAATTACGAGAGAAACGCGACTGCTCCAGAATCAAACAATTCGTCTACGTGATGCTCTGTTGGGAGGATAAGCTCATCTAACGAAGAAAATTCAAAAGCCCTGATGCAATTTCCATTCGAAATCGATACCATTCTTTAAACAAATTCGACACAACGCATGGACATTATGTGGATTTTTCTTGGAAATCTTGCTTTCGCTCCACGAATGAAACATAGTCGACGAGTCGTTAACCCTTTCGTCTTTACACGCGAAAACAATCAGTATTGCAGTACTTTTAATATCTTTTGAAACCTTTTAACGCGTCCGATTGCGAATTTTGCTGTTGCATACGTTGCAGTAATTTCGTTTCCTCTCAATGAAGTTAGTACTAGAATACTGCTGAATTAATTGATATTAACTCTTCGTAGGCAATCTGAGTCGTTCACGTCACCGTGTATTTCTTCAAAGCAAATTTTCATTGTTTCTGAAAAACGTCGTAAAAATTTTATTTAAAAATTGATTGCGTCATTAGAAGTAGTAAAGGTTTCATCGAGCAAAGCGTGAATTTTTCTTCACATTTTTCTACGAATAACACACGATAATATTTGTGTCTACCTGCAGAGAGTTAATTGATATTATTCATCCTGACAACCTAACTGATCATTTTAACGTGAATCTTTTTCGTAGAAAGTCTTTGAAGCTGAGAGGGTTAAAATGACGATGATTTAATATTTAATGAATTAAATACGCACAAAGATAGAACACCGTTTTTGGTGTTACAAACACAGTATTAAATATGCGTGCTATAACTGCATTTAGAAACTTTAATTTATAAGCGAACGTAATTTTATTTATTAACGTTCTAACACGCCTAATAACTAACTAATATTTTGTATAAATAGAAATATTAGTAAAAACAGATCAATGTGTGATTAAGAGAAAGATCTGACGCTTAAGCAACGATGAATTGAAGAACTACATACATCAAGTGAAACGATCAAAGTTAAATAGTTGAAAACTGATTTTACAAGTAATTACCATAACTGTATGTATTCAAACTAATTGTTGAAATCGCAATGTCCAAGAAGTAATATAATCTGTCATATAGTATAATCTGTTTAAATGTATTATTTCTTTAATTGTTGAAAATTATATGTAACAACTATTTGGTTAAATCTTACCTTGAGTTTGAGCGAAAAATGCACGTTTTATTTTAAAAATTCACAACACAAACACAAATCTAACAGCTGTTCATTGGAATGTTTACCTGAGAATTTCTGGATAATATTTTCTTCTTTACAAAGGCGGTGTGCTTCGTTCCGCCATTTTAACCGCCACTTTCCAGTTAAAAATCGATCATGAGATCGATTACGTTCGAGAATCGTAGGAAGTGTATTCCGTATTTCGCCGTGTAGCGGCGCTGTATTCACACGAAATGCTAACTTGAAATAAAAAATAAAAAACTCTAGTTTAAATCAAATACCCAAAATTCATGAGCAATTCATAAAAAAAGAACAAAAATATTCACACACTTCGTCAAAAATGGTCAATATTTTATATTGAAACATGAGAAATTTTACTATATTACGCAGTAAAACTATTACTTAAACTTTAGTAAATTATTGTTGAATTTAGTATTACAATTGTTAAGAATTACGCAGTACAAGATTAAGGAATCAACAAATGAATAGAATATGTTACAATAGAAGTAAAAGCATATTATATATATACATATAACAAAAAAGTTAGTCATATTACAAGATCACAATATTTGTATTGGTTAAAATTGAAATTAAATTTTGGTAATATAATTTGGTAATAATTTATAAAATTATAAATAACTTTTTAGCATAGTATGTTCTGTTTAAATGTTTATATGCCATTATTACTTTAATTGTCGAAATTTATGTGCAATAATTATTTGGTTAAATCCTATCTTGAGCTGGAGCGAAAAATGCACGTTTTATTTTAAAAATTCACAACGCAAACACAAATCTAACAGTTATTAATTGGAATTTTCACCTGAGAATTTCTGCATGATTTTTCTGAATAATACTTTCTTCTTTACAGAGGCGGTGTGCTTCGTTCCGCCATTTTAACCGCCACTTTCCAGTTAAAAATCGATCATGAGATCGATTACGTTCGAAAATCGTAGGAAGTGTATTTCGTATTTCGTCGTGTAGTGGCGCTGTAATCTTTACCTAATTTGAATCCAATGCGCGCGCATTTCGCATGAAACGTTACCTCGGAGTAAAAAATAAAGAATTCTGGTTTAAATCAAACATATTACTAATTTAATGAACATAAAGTAACTTACGAATATAATGCAATGAAGTAATTTTTCGTAACTAAATGTGACTTTACTCCTTAAATATTAATTTCCATTATATTTAACAGAATTTTACCTTTGTAAAGTGGGGTGTAAAACGACATCCCACTCCATCCCAGAACGAGTAGACATGTAACAAAATTTGTTCAATTTACGAACACTGAAATGTTAGCGCCTCGTAGCGGTGAAATGGCTAACCGCTATTACTATCGTATATATATGTATAACTATCTTTGTCGCACAGTATTGCCATCTTGATCTAAGAACGAGTGGAATACCGCCACTTGTTTGTAGTTCCAGATGCGGTACACAGGTGGCAGCACTGCCTGTATATATGAAGGGATTGAAATGGCGATGACAATGCGAGGATAATGTAGGAAGTGATGATGTGGGTAAGGTGAGGAAAGGTTTTGCGTTTCGTCTCAGAGTCGCTGCCTAGACTCATCAGTGGGGCTGATGGCAGCGAC